TACTCTTCAACAAAACTAGAGCAAAGGGCAGAACAGGTTGTGCCTCGAAGTGAGTGGGGTGGGGGGAAGAGGGACGAGGTGGGGGACAGAGAGGAGAAATGGCACAAACAATGTATGTTCACATGAATAAATGAATAAAGAAAAATAATAAAAAATTAGAAGGGATAGAGTGATAATGTTATCTTAGGACTCATACTAGTGGAGTAAATGCTAACTATAGTTAAATATATTAACCTTGGAAAAGCAGAACTTTGAAAACTCAAGAGAGTGACGGATTCAATTCCATTTACTCAAGTGAGCATGGCTCAAGGTAAAAGGAAGAGTAAAGGTATTAAGTTGTTTATTAACACAATCTCAATAAAGAAATAAAATAAGGCTGATAAAAGATTGTTTACATTTTAAAATGCCATGTACACACAGTCAAAATAATATTGCAAGAAAGAACAAAGTTGGAGAATTCACTTGTCCTGATTTCAAAACTTATTCCAAAGCTACAGTAATCAAAATAATACATTACTGGCATAAAGACAGGCATAAAGGCCAGAGAGCTCAGAATGAAATCTTTGTATATATGATCAAATCATTTTTAACAAGGATACCAAGGGAATATTTTCAATAAATGATGCTGAGAAAACTGCATCCACCTGCAATAGAATGACACTCACCTAAAATCATATACCAAAATTAACTTAAAAAATGGATCAAAGACCTAAACAAGAGCTGAAACTATGAAACTCTTAGAAGAAACATACAGGACAAACTTCACGGCACTGGATTTGACAATGCTTTCTTGAATATGATACCAAAGGCACAGGAAACAAAAGAAAAAATAGACAAACTGACTTCATCAAAATTAAAAACTTTTGTACAGAGTAACAAAAGAATCCCACAAAACATGCAAAGTATTTGCAAATCATTTATCTGATAAGGGGTCATGTATCAGTTACTTTTATACTGGTATCAACAAAATACCTGACAGAAATAACTTAAGAAAACAAAGATTTATTTTGGTTCATAGTTCCAGAAGAGTCAGTACACCACAGCAGGGAGGGCATGGAAGAACACAGCAGTTCATAGCATAGCAGCCAGCAGAAAGAGAATATAGGAAGGGGCCAGAGCAAGACACAGCCCTCACAGACATGTGTCATTGGCCTACTTCCTCCAACTAGGCCCCACTCTTGCCTTTCCCCACCTCCCAATAATGCCATTGCATTATGAATCAGTCAAGGGATTAAGCCATTCATTAGGTCAGAGTCCTCATGATCTAAGTGCCTAGGAAAATGCTATCACCGACATACCCAGAAGTGTACTTTACTAGTTGTTTCTCAATCAAGTTAACATTTAAAATTATCCACCACAGTTTGATATCCAGAATGTACAGAGGAATTCTTAAGTTCAACAAAAACCAATCCAAGTGAAAAAGGATCTGAATAGACACTTATCTAAAGAAGACAGATGTCAAAAAACAAATGAAAAGATGCTTAAAATCACTATTGCCCTTAAGGAAAATTTTGATGCAGTTAATTAAAAAACATCTAAAACATACAACTCATTAGGGATGCAGTATAGAGCTTATCTGGCATGTGCAAGATCCTGAGCTTGATCCCCAGAACTTTAAAAGAGAAAAAAATTGCAGGGTGTGGTAGTTCACACCTATAATCCCAGCATTCAAGAAACTGACATAGGAGGATAGACAGTTCAAGGCAGCCTGGGCTACAACAGCATGTCTAAGGCAAGTCTGGCCTATACAGCAAGATGCCATCTCAAAAACAAACAAAAATTGAACAAAATATGAAAGAAGATACATATAAAAAGAATCTTAGCCAGGTATGGTAGTTCAAGCCTTAGGAGGGAAAGATGAGGAGGAACATGGTTGAGGCCAGCCCCGGCAAAATGTTCAGAAAATCCCATCTCAACCAATGGCTGGACACAGTGGTGTGTGGTTGTCATCCCAGCCTATTTAGGGAAGTACAGAAGATCACAGTCTAGGCTGGCCCAAACTTTAAAAATAAACCAACGCAAAAAATTTTTTTTAAACACTGATGAGTTTAGAAGTTTCAAAAATACTAAAGATAAGTTTTGAAGTTTTTATGCTGTAAACAAGGATAGGGAGGCAGTAGGAAAAACATAAGGTTAACAGACAGCTAAGAAAAGAAACACTCAACTCCTATCTTCAATATCCTTTCTCAAGAATACTCGTCTTTAAACTCAACTGTTTATAACAAACAAGAAATTACAGCAACCCAAGAGGGGAAAAGATGACCTTATTTTATTTTATTTTGAGGCACTGGGCTAAAAATATTATTCAAGAATTTAGGTCAGATTAAGGTATAATTGGCACTTTTTGAGAATGATGGTAAATGGTGGCATCAGACATGAGTAAATTCTACCTTAATTTTCACAAAAGGAAAACATAGATGTTTAGAAAGTAAACATTATAGACCACTAAGCAAAACATTTGTTAGCCACAGATATACATTTTTAAAAACCCTTGGGAAAAAGCATTTCTTATGAAAAGAACTTCATAAATATCCTCTTCTGATAATTAAATTAGATGCTCAGGAAATTCTGCAGATGTTTCAACTTTATTTCAACAATGTATTTTGGCTCTTAACGAGAATAGAGGATAGGTCTTAATTTAAGTCTGCAAATCCAGCACCTACCACAGATCCTTGAACATAGCATATCCTCAAAACACAAATTTATTGATTACACTGTATGCTCTGGTTGGAAGGAAACTGGGAAATTGTCACTGGGAACAATACAATGTGTACTTCAGGTGGCTTGACAGCTGACATAATAATCACATATAATGCATTTCTGTTAACAAACTAAAGGAATGTTTTAATATTATTTATCACATGATCTGTATTTCACATTAACTTGTTCGACACTCTGAAAAGGCAAAACTATCTATCTATGCCCCAGATGGGTAGTACTTTTTCACCTAGATTATAATACAATGCCTAACAATGAATAAATGAAAGAAGAATAAATCTAAAAGTGGGTAAAGTTAGCAAAATTATTGGATAATAAAATCAGTACTCAAAAAATTGTCAAAACTCACTTCATATAACTTTTCAGATTTTAATAATTACCTTCCAAATATTTAGAAGAAAAAAACTCAAAGAAAATATGATCTATATGTCAAAAAAAAGGAAAAGGAAACAAAGTAATCATGCCATTCATGAATCATGACATTCATCAGATAATTATTATAATAGACTTAAAAGTTACACCATTTGATCAAAATATTCTTTGAATGTCAAAAAAACCCTAATTTTATACTTAACAGGAAATCATTTTTAAAAAATAAAAATAGGATGATTAAAGACACTGACAAACACAAAAGTAACTAGAAGTAGTATCACGATTATTAGCAAACAAAGGCAAAAGTACATATATAGGTACATATGTATAAAACAGGACAGAGAGTAATTTTATATTTATATTTTATATTTAATTGAAACTTAATTTAGAAGGTATATACCAAAGTGAAATCACTGCATCAATGCTCTTTATAGGTCAAATAATACGAGAAAATAAATCAACCTGTTATAAGAAAATAAGATAAAATTGCATTTACAGTGCTAGTACTCATAAGACACCAAAATTATCATACCTGGCCCTAACACATTGATAAATCTGAAAAAAAATAGCAGAAAATAACATGGAAACCAAGAATATACCCTAAGTACTGATTAAAATATGACAAATTGAAAAATGAGGCAATGTACACACCAAAATGTGGTCAAATAAGTCACTTTAAATTTTATTGCTTTAATTAAGAAGTAATAAAATTAAAATGCATGAAATAAGAATTCAACTCAGCAAAAGTATATGAATACCTTAAGTATTAGAAACAAATGAGCTGGGCACTGTGGCTCACATTTTAATCCCAGTTACTTGGGAGATAGATAGCAGGAGGATTGTAGTTTGAGGCCAACCCAGCCAAAAAGTTAGCGAGCCCCATCTCAACAAAAAAGGTGGATATAGTGGCCCAAACTTGTCATTTAAGCTATCTGGGAGGAAAAAGTAGGGGGACTGCAATCCAGACCAATTTGGGCTAAAAAATGTGAGATCCTTCCTGAAAAATAACTAATGCAAAAAAGGACTGGACATATAGCTCAAGTGGTAGAGTGCCTGCCTACCAACTGCAAGGCCCTGAGTTTAAACCCTGTCAAAAAAAAGAGAGAAATGAAAGAAAAGCTGAAGTAAACAGACTAAAAACAAATAAAAAGTTCAGCAGTAGAAATAAAGTGATGATTTGTAATTAAAAAGAATGAGTTAGTAGTTATTGCTTAATATCAAATTTAAATTTTTTTTCTTTTTAAAAGTTGCTTCATTCAGAGGAAAAACTAAATGTAATCTTACATGAATGGTGGCAAAAACCTGTATGATAACATGGTCTTTAAACTGATTAACATTTAATAAGAACTACTATTATTTGATTGTGTATAAGGACTTTGCATGCATAATTTATTTAATCCTAATGACAGCCACAGTGCATACATACTATCATTGACCCCACCTTTCAAGTGAGAAAGGCAAATAGCACATCCTCACAGGCTCAATTTTTAATCTTAGCAATCTAATTCTAAAGATTACATCCTCTACCTATTTGCTATGCTATCTTCAATTATTTTCTCCAGCAACTTCTATTCACTGATTTAACACAAAGCATTAAATGTACAGGGTTAAGTGCACAGTAAGAATCTAAAAATTTACAGAAAGAAAACACATTTCAGGACTTGAACGCATTAATAATCTGACAAGTTCTCACAGTTTAGCAACATGAAATTGTTTCTTTTAGTGCTGACATTTGCAAGTGCATTTAAACCAAGATTAAAGATATCAGCAGGTGGCAACTAAAGGAAATTATCCAAATCCTGTAATTTGTTTTATAGTTTCCAAGTAACTCTTGATTATCACAAATCTTTCAGGTAACTCCTTCTGGAAAATGATACATGTTCAAATACTTTATCATCAAGAGTATTTACCTGATGGTTCTAAAACTTTTGGTTCAGGTTCATCCAATTGTAGAAGCTCATCAAGAGCTAATTTTGCTGCGTTGGATCTAGACTCCTTTTTATTTTGTCCCAGTCCAGTCTTGTATTGAATACCATCCACCACAGCACAAAAAGCAAAATATGGTCCCATAATATTACCTTAAAAAAGAACTCAGAATGACTGCTATAATAATTCACAGTATATTCTTACAAATATTTATTGGAAGATATTCCAGTAAAAATTATGCAAACTATTTAGTCTAAAACATTAACCAGTTTTTTTTTTTTTTGTAGGGCCAACAATGATGGGCTCTTGAACTAGTTATAAGGATTCAAGCAAATAGGATGGCTCTAAATTCAATGTGTGCAGTAAAACCAGCTTTAGTATACAGGTCATATATGGGGTTACAGTAGCTAGCATTATGCTTCACAATACAAATAAAGTTGAATTTCTCCCACCGTTGGATTGCCCTAATAGTCTTAGAAATCCCAGAAAATAACAATCCTTTTGAAGAAACCTATGTACCCATTAGGGCACCATGGTAACCAATTCAATCCTAAAGGCTCTAGTCTTTGGTTATAGATGGCTATGTACAACATCATTGCACCAAAGTCCAACTATCTTATTTATTCATATTCACAACCACATTACATTAAGTATTTTCCCAACACCTGACTGCATCTAGATAAATATGCTTTCCTTCACAACCCAACACTTCAATTTCCCAAGTTCCTTCCTTAATGTTCCAAACCAAATTCATTAAACCAGAGAACATTTTGTATAGTTAACAAAAGGCCTAGATGATTCTTATGTAGGAGACAAAACACATCAAATTTGTTATTAAGTGTTCTGTGTCAGAATGCTGATGTTTAACCTTCAGCCTATTTATAACCCAAACATTTGTGGGCTATAAACATTATGGGTCTAAATCAAAGTAGTGCTTCTTAAAAATACTGATAGTCTGGTCTCAATACAAAACCCACTGAATAATACTTTGAACATAAAAATGAACATCATTAACAATCAATGGGTCATGTTTTGTGAGTAGTTTTTCACAGAGCAGTTAAGGTTCTTCCTGGTCAATTCTTTTTTGCAGCAACCAATAACTTACATTTTCTAGGAGTGATCTGATAATAAATAATACAAGAAAGCTACAGGTTATACAAAGGTTAAGCTCACCAGGTATATAACACCAACTTCCATATTAAGACCTACTTTTGTCACCGGTTCAGTTTACTGGTATTTCATCCAAAACAATAGTCAGAAACATCATGTCACTAAAATTTCAAAAGCTTTACATTTTTTGCCATGATTCCAGCTTTGAGATCCTTATTGGCAAAAGTTAGTGCCGGGAAAATCAAAGAAGCCATACTCGTGTGTGTGTGTGTGTACAAATATTTTAAGACATTTTTCTGACTTTTAACTTGTCAATGCATCTTAGAAGCACTTACTTTGCCACTTTCCTAAAGCTCTTCCTAATCACTGTCCATTAACATAATGAGAACAGAAACTGCTTCCTGCATTTTATTCATCTATACTTCTGTAGTCTTCAGCAAGTAAACATGGTAAGAGACTGTTCAGGTTAAGGGTTTGTAGAATGATGGAAACTAACAGATAAGTCTGCAGTTACAATACCAACTAAATAAATGCTGTTTTCACATCATATCCTTGAGTTTCAGGGGGCAAATTTGACCATATTTTTTCTTAGGCATCATAATCACAGAAATCTTTCTCCTAAGAAAATCATAGTACAAATTCTTAACATCTTTAAAAGGATGTTTACTGTACAAGAAGTACACACACCACAAAATAATCTGTAAGACTGACTTAAATTCAGCTAGTTATATACAAAAAATACAACTGTAAGTTTTTGTATATTTGAGTACATGCAGAGCCTCAAAAAGCTAAAGCATGAATATAAAATTTCTTAGTATACTTGTCAAAACAGTAATTATCTAGCTCTAATATTGCATACAATAAGTAAATGTAGCACTGCCTTACATGTTTTGCTTTTAATTGGAAAATATTTTCCAGTATTTAGATAATTAGGCATAATTTGCACTTGCCTGTTGTTATGGTTTCCTTAAGGTCAAGCTGAACTCGCTGCATTTGTGCAAACTGGTGTAAGGCTGACACAGGATTTATCTCTCCACGCTTGTATTTCATTATGAATTCTTTAGGTATTTTTTTTGAAGGAAGGACAGGGTTTGAAATAGATGTAAGACTTTTAGAAAGCAATGGTTCTGGAAAATTACCTAAAAGCAAATGTTTACAATGGTCAACTTGGTTTTTAAAAAAAAAAAAGTGAACAGAAACACTAAATCCTCCCTGAAAACTAAAGATACATTTAGTCATATGCATTTTTCATAAGTTTTTACTAGATGATTTTGGCAAACATAAGCATGATGTTACTATATGTATCTTCTAGTGTACTAAGACCATTTTGTGAAGAAACAATATTATCATGCCATAATGTTACCAAAGAATCATGCAATCTTCATGATGGTAAGGTCTTCAGAGACTATGCTATTTTTACAGATGATGTCACTAAAGCCTACAATGGAGAAAGATACAGATCTGGATCTGCTGGGACTGTAACTCAGTTTCTGGTTCCCATCTACTATTTTATAACGCTTATTGTACTCAGGCAGTATAGATTATTGGATTCAAATTCAGTATTTTTAACAGTATATTTGTTCCTGCTTTATATTTATCTGCTAAGTGTTATATGAAATACAAACTAGTATAAGCTCAGTCCTTCCTTTCCTTCAAAAATGCAAGACACACATGAAGTGTTTTACCAGTGCAGGTGGGAACAAATTGTTAAATGAGCAGCAGGGGGGAAATTCTACAGGCCTCCTACAGTGTTGGGAGTCAGATACCGGCTCCAGGTAGGGGATGGCCACAGTGAAGTGTGTGTGTGTAGGAAACATTTAAATAAGCACTGAGGCACTTGTGCAAAAGAAAAAGAAGTCATACCTGTCACTTGTGTAACCTTGGATGCCATATTCGACAGGCTACAATTTTCCGAGGAATATCCTGTGGGTGTTGTTACCATCTGGACTGATCTTTGAACTGGTAAATTCTTTTTCAGCATCTGAGCAAAGCTAGGGACCCTGGAACTCTGAAACCAGTCATTGTTGCCAGACATTTTTTCACCTACAAATTATGATAAAATTGCCAGAAAACTTAAAATACTAGGTAAACAAAAAACAATTTAGGAAAAAAAAAATCCAAATTCCCTTCATATCCGTAAGTAACTTACACACACACACACACACACACACACACACACAACACACACACACACGACTGAAACCAAATCCCTCTATAAATCCCTACATAGTAAGTTTATTGACACTGAGCTCTTCTCCCAAACCTCTTCCCCAAGTTCTACTACAAAGTGGGAAAGAAGGGGCTGTGGACCATGGATGCCCTTAAATCTACTCAGCAAGGTCACGCGGAAAGAGGAGAAAAAGGAAATCCCACATGGTGGCCTCCCAAACCTTTGCCCAACTCTCACCCCCGAGGTTGTCCTTCCCAACGTCCTCTCTGCTGGGCCCAGCAGGCAAGCGGGTGGCTAGAGGAAGGCTTAGCCGCAGGCCTGGGGCGGGGGCTCGCCGGCTGCCACCCGCAGCCGCCATTGCTTCCTCTTCTTGGCGTCAACCACTCCCTGAGGCCTCTCTGTGCCAGGGCCACGCGGCTTGGAGTCGCGTCTTTCGAAAGCAGCGCAGCCTCGCGGCGCCCCTGCAAAACCCTGCCGGCGCTCCCGCACTGCTCCTCATCCAATCACCAACGGTCTCCTGTGGCTCGCGCCCCGCCTCCACGCTTACTTACGCCAGCGTCCTGCCTGCGTTGCTCCGTGTGCCTTACATCTGCCCAGGAAGAGAGGCGGAAGAAATGTGACGCACGTTCGGGTCTTCGGACATGTTGGCTAAGTTCTCGAGGCACCCGACATTGGGCAGGCTGTCCGCTCTCTCGTCCAGGCCTCTTTCTCTCAGGTGCCTCCTGCCATCCTCACTACACTGTACGGATGGTTATCTATAACTAGTTGCCTGTATCTAGGGCATCGTTACCCAGGGTGGTCGGGCTAACCCAGGGGTACTCGTGTAAGGGAATTTTCTAGGAAACCTTTCATTATATGCCCAGTTACGGTCTGAGAAATTGGCCATGGGCAAGGCTTAGCTTTAGCAGCAGCCTTCTTGTGTATAGACAAAACCACCACACGTTGAAGCTTGAGTAGCAGAACAATTATGAAGACAGGTGGGGTGCTGAGAACACATAGTCCTAATATTTGATGACAAACCCAATGTGGGGTTTTTCAATTCTTTGCTGTCATACAAGTTGAAAGAGGACCTTATCGAGGCGTCAGCTGATAGATTATTGAACATATTTTAAGTACGGAATCACCAAGTTTTAGAATATAAGCAAGGAGGAATTCAAAGAATTGAATTTTGTTATCTTAGTGGTCATCTACTTTTCTCTGTGGTCAAGGTTTCTCAAAAGTTGAATTTATTTTTTAAAAAGAGGGAAAATTTAAAAAAAAAAGGACAATGGAATTGATGGTAACCTACCTCACTGTAGCAAGAAGTAACACCTATTCACAAATACATGATGAAACTGGAAAAACACATTTTTAACAAAAGTGTATTTTTCTTTAGAGATTGTTAAGATGCGTTGATAATACTGCTTTGATCAAGTGTCCAGTAATAAGTGTAATAATTTATGGTTTACTTCTGGCACATACATTCCATATTCATTTTGCCTTAGTGTGTTAGGTGATTGGGACTTATTCAATGGAACAATTTGTCAAAAGATGTGAAGAGTTTGAGATTTTTACTCTATTTGAAGCTTTAAAGTTAGCTTTCAAGAATGCTGGCAAGAAGACATGAGATCTCTGTGTCAGAGACAAAGGACTGTACCATTTATAGCATGGGTATCAGCATGTCTGGATGGTTCGCCTTACCCCCAAATCCCAAAGATGCAGCATGTATCGATCCCGATGAATACTGTGTACATAGTGGATTGTATTACACAAGTCTGAGTTTAGGGAACTTTAATTTTATTTTACTTTTTAATTTTAATTGTATTTTTTATATTATTGTATTGGGGGTACATTGTGACATTTACAAAATGTTTTACAATGTATCATGGTTGAATTTACCCCCTCCATCATTCTCTTTTATCTCCCCTACCCACAACTGTGGAAAAATTCAACAGGTCTCATTTTTCCATTTTTATACATGAGTGCATAGTATTTTCACCACATTCACATTTCCTTATATCCTTTTTACACCCTTTCCTTATATCCTCTCCCCTTCCACTGGTACCAAACACCCAGATGGGACCTATTTTACCTTCCTGTTCTGTTTTTGAAAAAAAGACATTTTTGTTTAAGATAGCTATATGGGCAGTTTCATTGTGACATTTCCATTTATATATGTATTATAACCAGAATTGGTTCATCTCTATTTTTCCTTTCTACCTTGGTCCCCGTCTTATGGTGATTTCAACGGGTTGTAATTTTACCTACTCAGGAGGCAGAGATTGGAGCATTTTGGTTTAAAAAGTTCAAGAGACCCCATTTCAACCAATAAAAGCTACTGTATAGTTGGGAACACAGAGGTGCATCACCATGACCAACTTGAGATGGAGGTCTTGGTAACGTTTTGCATGGACTGACCTTTTAATTGTGGTCCTCCCAATCTCTGCCTCCGAAATCACAAAAATTTTGAATAGAGATTTATTTATATTATTAATTTGGTGTTGGGAATTGAATATTTGGCCTTAAGCAACCAAGCACATGCAGTACCACTGAGCCACATCCCCAGCCTTATAGATTTAAACTGTCCTTTTTTAAAAATAGCATTATCACAGTAAGTACCAGATATGGGGTAAATTCTTGTCATATTTTTGGAAGTCATATCAAGAATATTGAAATCTAAAGAAGTTTTAAAAAAATCATTTAGAACTACTGGCATATTATTTCTTTGAAGAAGAGAATTAACACCTAAAAGAGGATTCAAATAGGGGACTGATTTCTTTATTTTTAGTTGATTAAGACAATAGAATGAAAGTAGGTATAGAATTTGCTTTTCTGATGAGCCTGACTAGTGGAATAGACACTACAGGCACTGATTCTTTGGGTGAGCTGGTAAAGATTTAGAGACAAGGCAGATGACAAATAAGATGGTTTAGCATATGAATACAAAATTAGGATTATAACACTAGGGTTTTACTTTTAATTGTGTAATAAATTGCTATGTGACATTAAACAGAAAATCTGAACATTCCTGTTGATAGCATATAAACATTCATCATTGGTTCTTCTGGAGGATCTTTTGTTGCTGTTGAATCTGTAAGGAATAAGATTACCTTATGCATCTACATGCAAGGTCTACACCAAAGGCTTTCATGAGGTGCCTTCTAGCTCTAGTTTCTTCAGTTCTATTGTTTATCATTCTTTAACTGTTGTCCTGACTTGCTAGATTGCAGGTAACTTTGAATACTATTTTATTTACCAATTTTTTGGTGCCAGAGATTTGATAATTATTTTAGATCTTACAATCCTGTTAAAATCTTTTTAGTGTACCTAAAATGTATATTATATTAGGTTTATATATTATACTTTTATATGGATGAAAGAGTCCATTTAAACATAAATGTAAGAAATTTAGTATAATAATAAAAATCATCAGCTGTGCATTTAACACACCATTAGAATAAAACAATGCCCAATGTTTCTGAAACCTCTGGTTTGCCTCTTCCTGACTATATCCTCCTGGGATTATTTCTTAGAAGCATAAATGTTTTATGTATTTAAATATTTTTATACATATTATTTAGCTATGAATACAGATAATTGCAAAACAAGATGGGCAGCTATTAATTATAAATTATTATAATTAAATAATAGCATATATAAAAAGACCCCAGAACTGTAGACTGAAACCACTATTATGACTTTATTACAATAGTTACAAACAATATTTTAGTGGTATACAATCATATCACAATTACTCAAACTATTTACAAATAGGTATTTATACAAGTCTACATAAAAAAGCAACAACTATTCCAAATCACATTATCAACAAGATTCTTTTCTAAAAGTTATGGCCAATAAAAAAAATCAGTTACTCTGCAAACATTTTAAAGATGCAGGAGTCATATTGCACACAATACAATTATAAACCTTAATAAGCAGATTTATATATTTTAATCTAGTTTTTCAAAAACCTTACATTACCATGCAATACTTCACTGTACACAGGATGGTAGAACTAAAAGAAGCAGGTTAACTTACAATATTTTAATATGGCCACAAAATTAGAATTATTTTAAAACCATATTTAATAAACTTAAAATATCACTCATGTACTGAAGCTTAATGGACACAAACAGAATTTGCTCACAGATCAAGTTAATACTTTAGTGTTCTTCTTTGTCTTTTCCTTTCCTTTCCTTTTCGTCCTGTAGTGCAGTACCAAGCTTTTTGATAAGAACAGACAGAACCTTGTCCAGTGGGTCCATGACTCCTCTCTGAAGCCACTTAGGAATAGTAGTCCTGGCATGATGGAAGCCCAGTTTTTGAAGAATATAATCAACACCTACAGGATCAATCTTTCTTCCAGTCCAAGAAATTAATCTAAAATAATAATTACAAATGATAACTGTTAAGGAATATAATGCCCTACCACTATAATGCTAGGAGTATAAATGCCATTTAATGCCCCAAGGGCATATCCAAAAGAATCACTGAACCTTTATAATACACTCAAGGCAAAATATTTCAGTAGGTGCATTTGAATAATTGAGCCTATAATTCCTGGATTCAATAGAGTAATAGCATTCTGAAAATTATATGTCTGATTGTAAGTATCCTTGACATGTTACATATAGCAACCATGTTGATGAAATTTCATTCTAATTAATTTATTAGGCCTGTTAGATGGTCACCTTAACTATTTAAAAGGACATCTGGTTAAAAGATTTCACAAGCATGTGACATGAGGAAAAGGCTAAAATTTACTGAATGCTATGTGCTAAACATGTTTGAAGGGAGAACAGTTTTCTGTTTCTGATATTTTCTTCCACATAGAAGTCAAGCTATTTTCCTGTATTAATGATTTATCTGACTAGCAAAGTTAATAAAGGAACTGTATACTTCAGTATCTGCCTTAGTTTCTCTTGAGAGTCACTCATTTTGGTCTATTTCTCCATGCCATAGGGCTTTCAAGGACAATCCCCTAAACAGGTTATCCCCAAGCACTGAGTACTATTTGTGGCTATGTGAGTACACATAGCTACTAACTGTACTGTACCACTCTCTGCCCCTTAAGTTCTACATTATTGAAGCCCTACAGCTAAGCCTAAAACCTGGACTTTGGAGTAGAAAGTTATTGCTGCCAGACATCTAAACCAAATCAGCACTCAAACTGCTATTTTCATTTTCAGTGGCTTCTCTCATACTCTGTCGTTTAGCCATGAACTCAGGTAGGAGGTATTAAGCACTAATCTCCTAAAACTCAATTGCAATAAGCATTTTGCATTAATTAACTCATTTAACCAGTATAACAACCCTACAAGGTAGGTAATACCATTTTCCAATTTTTCACGAGGCTATGGAGGAATCTCAGAGAGGAGAGAGGCTATGTCTTTTGACTTACAGTATTCAACTACTATGCAATAAAGCGTGAGTTTAGAAACAGAGCTATTAATCATATTCTCTACCACTATGTAATATTCCCTAATTAGTTATTGTTTGCTAAAAAAGGTATCCACTTTTATTTTCATTTGAAGCTCAACTCTTTTATAGTAAGCTTAAATATACTAAGAAATATTTATTCAATTTCATTATAATTAGATTTATAAATACAAAATGTATTTTCCAAATAGTTTTTTGCATTAGGACTGTCTAAAATATTGGTCTGATGTAATGACAATGTTAAAATTTCTCATATCATCAAACTGTTTTGTTGATTTGGTTAAAACAAATTTTATTGAATACAAATTACTAACACACAAAAGTCACTACTTTCTGCTTATACAAGAATCCATTGTACAATGGAGATTTTGTATTTTGGAATTATTTTGTGACATAAATATGCCTTAGGAATAACTTTATCTAAATAAAATCTGTATCATTTTGCAAATGTTTTGCATGATATAATGGATTTTTCAGGATTCAGGCAGTTAATAATAAGGCAGATGAGAGGAAAGGGAAAAAAAATAGAATGCCATGAGTAGTAATCACAAATAAAGAACACACAAGGCAAGTACCACTAGTTATAGCAACTATTATAATTAAAGTTAGAAAATATTTTCAAAATTTGGATCTAAAAATGAGTTGATGTAAATGACATTATTACTGTCGAAAAACATGACTTAGTGAAGAATCTGTACTTGAAAGTATCACATGTAACATTTTTGGCATGGTTTTATACTGTTCAGTATATAAATAGGACACTGAAATTATAAGAAACTATAATGGTTTCTTAATAATAATGCATGACTCTTATTGCATATTTTTTTATTATTAACCATATATACCTAAAAAATTTGAAAACAACATCTAGGTAAGAAGATGAAAAATAACAAATAGTAGAAAGATAGTTATTCTCTTATTTTTAGTGATTAAGTGACAGAATGCCAAACAGTGGACAGTTTGTATTTTTGCTTCATCCAGACACACTTACAAAAGCAGGAAAGAGGTGCAGAAAGAAGAGTCAGCTGCTGAAGAGGTTACAAATGACTGATTTGTAAACTTATTTTTGGTAGCCATATTTAGCCTATATTGTTCATAATTTTTCTCATAGTGTTCCCTTTGGATATGGGTAAAATGTATACACCCCTTACTTACCTAAGAGTGGGCTCTAGATGCCATGTGTTGCACATAAAATCTCTCCAGTCCACTGTCGTGTAAGTGATGCTATCTTCTCTGTCTTTGTCAGAGGAATTCTCATCGTGTATAATAACTGGACTTTTCTGTCCTGGTCGAGTAGATAGAATCCGAGGTGGAAAAATGGCTATAATGAAAAAGATTAATATTATAAATATATCTTATAAACTTATTTTAAACCACCATAAGGACAGAATGATTGGCTACAAATCTCATTTTATCTGCTACCTTGTCAAATCCTCATTAGTTGAAAAGTAATCTCTCTCTCTTTTTTTCTTTTGGCAGTATTGGGGAGTTGAACTTTGGGCCTTGAGCTAGCTAGACAAGCACTCTACCACTTGAGCCAGGCCCCCCAGCCCTGTTTGCATTGTTTATTTTCTATTAGGGTTTTCATTTAGGCCTGGCCCACCTTGGGTTGTGATCCTCCTATTTATGCTTCATGTATTGCTGAGTTGAAAAGTAATCATTTCAAGTAAGCCATAAATAAGTACCAGTTATTAATATTTTTTGGAGAAAAAAATATTGACACAAATGGTAAAGAATGCTGAATCATTTATTTGATAGCAGACATAGGGCACTGAAATTGATAGGTGTTAAGTCTCCTTTAGAATGATTATAGTAAACTGAACAGTGTCTCATACCTGTAATTCCAGCTATTGGGGAGTCTGAGACAGAAGTATTGCCAATTCCAGGTTAGCCTGGATAACTTAGCAAGACCCTGTCTCAAAATAAAATTTTAAAAAAGGGCTGGGGGGTATACCTCATGGTAAAGTACTTAACATGTATGAGGTCCTGGGTTCAAACCTCATACATGGATGACTTTAAAAAGTTTTATTGAGATTTATTCACATATAGTATAATTAAAAGTATGTAATTCAGTGGGTTTGTATGTTAAATAGTTGTATGAATATTTAAACAGTGGTACTACTTGGGAATTTTTTATATAGTCTTTCTTTTTTTAGTAATACTCAAGTTAAGTCTTTTTAAATTGGCTATCATAAATATATACATATATATAAAATCAAATGAGACATAGGTAGTTTTTATGTGATCTTATTTAATAAATAAAGCATTTCTCTTAGAGCACAAGTTTCAAGACACAGAGTGGACATAAAATAATTAACTCATTAGGTAATATGATATGCATTAATCAGCTCTAGTTATAACTTGATTGTTAAGAGCCTAGGAATGAATTGTAGTACCATGTTATACCAGAATACAGATACACAGATGAATTCAATTACTGCCTGCTCTGCTGATGGGCTTTTATCACTGGTGGTGGTTACATTGTTACAGTTTATCTTGATGTTCTAGAAAAATGCTGATTCTCGTATAGTCATACATGCTGTTAAGAAATTCATCAGGGATATTTATGCTTATTTTGGCCAAAGTTTGTAATAACCAAGTATACTTACAGTTATTAAGTTATTTTTATTTATAACTGAAAACCCTACAGATAAATAATGTTTTACAACAGTTTAAATTAAAAGAAATTGTTTTAGAAATATATATAGTTCTTGGCAGAATAATGGCAATAGTTACAAAATGTCATAGGTTTCACATAATATCAGGGAAATAAATCTGGCAGGGTTTCAAATCTAGGAAGACTAGAAAAGAATCTATAGAATTCTGTTTTATATAGAATCTGTTTTCTTCTACATTAAGTTTAAATTTATTAAGGCAAAAGAAGAAACAAAAAAATTAGCAGTAACTATGGTTATGTTGGTGCTATATGAGATCTATACTTACACATAATATATAACACTGCCTGATATATCTTCCCACTATCACTATTGAGTTTTTACTCTCTCCCTAAGTTTTTGGCATCACTCTTCTGAAAAGCAGTGAAAGAGAACTTCAATCTATGCTGTACTAACTTCACATTCTATTAATATGATCCTTGATAATCTTTTACTTTTGAAGTATCTGCAAGACAAATTTCCTGTTTTGAAACAGTATTATACTGTGACCTAAACATATATATTTTTCCAAGCTATGTTTTAAGAATCACATTGGTAGTCTGATCACTGTATGTTCATATCTGAATAAATATGCAATAATTATATAATAAATATTGAATGAAAAATGATCAGATATTTGAGAGCAGCCCAAATCACAACATTTCAAACTACCTCATTCTTTTAAATATCTCCAGAGTATTAGAGTATATTCAACCAATTCCAAATAGAAATTATCTACATAGATACAGAGATTTCTTACTGAGCAAACATGTTAAGTATCCAGTTGATAAACCAATGTTAAACTAGTTCATAAAAACAAAACACTACCACTGAGGTTGAAATAACCTATATATGAACACAAAATGTTTTCTGCATTCCAAATGAATTTATCTTATTCAATTCAGTTTTTAAACTATTTTTATAACTCATGTAACTGCTTCTTTAGTCATTTTACTTAAATTTGAAATATTTCCTAACATTTTTCTGCTTTGTAAAAATCAGTTGGAACATGTCCTAACTGAAGATGTTCATAATATAATATACATTGGAACTCTCTGTAGCTGTAAAGTGTAAAACATTATTCTGTATCAGACAGAAAGAGTGCTGTACATCTATCTAGCAGATACTCAGAAACTATATAATATGGTGTTAGTAATGTTTGTAACTCACTGAGAAAGGAGACATATTTTACTCAATAACTAGACCACAAAAATTCACATAAATGGCATTGACAGCTGTCTATGACATTGACTGCTACCTGTTCTGTGGCTTGAAAGAAAAAAATAACAACACACAACCTACCTTTTTCTTTTTCTTTCAGATAAGCTGACACTAAATCATGAAGAAACATGATGAGTTCAGCATCCATGGTCACACAAATATGATCGGTGAACTCTGTCACCACACTACATTCTACCTTTGGCTTCAAGCTGGCATCTGCAATGATAATGTTCTTTTATGGTAAATATTTTATGAAACATGTCTCCTCCTCTTCCCATCAGTAAAGATTTACATAGGTCCATGTAAATGCATCCACTTGAGTTGCAAATATAAAGAAATAAGTAATTTCTGTATGCGATTTATAGAATGATGATAAGATTAAGCACATTCCTAATATATATAGCATTTGTTCTTCAAAACAGCCCTGTAAACAAAGTCCAATTATTATTTTGGTTTTATTTGGGAGAAAACGGCACAAATACACTAAATAATTTTCCAAAAGACAGATAACTGTTAAGAAAATCAATTTGATTTACAAAATAAGTATCATTAAATTAATATGCCAAAATTACCTATAGGAAGATAGCAATAGTCTGAAGTTTCTTTAGAATTTTCTTACTACTTAAAAACTGAAGATATTTTTCCACATACCCTGCAATGAAGGTTCTTGTGGCTCTTGAACATGAATGGATTTAAAGTCGAGCTGCATCCTTGGTAATGCAAAGATAGTCTCTGTTTCATGGTTGTAGCTAGAAGCGCCTCTGAATCCACTCAACAAACTAGAATTCTTCACAGTCGTGTTACTCTCCATGTTATTTGCATCAACATTACGAAGTAAGTTTAGCTCTATGCGTATAGCATAAAGACAGTTAAGAGTCAAACAAATACACATGGATGAACTGCATCAAACTGTTATTATTTCAAAAGTTGGAAAGAATCACATTTTAAAAAATAGAGCTATAAATGCTTTTGGTTTCTCCAAATTTAAAATAAGTATTAACCTCAAATGAATTCATGCCTAACACAGGCTTCATTAAACCCAAAGGTCTCCACAGATTGAACTCTAACTCAAAAAAATTGGGATTAAGTATGATCCTGACCCTGGAAATTCGGTATAAGTCTTAATTTTCTACAACATATGTGCTATGATTACAGTAATAGCGCTCATGTAAAAATTAATATTCTTCTATCTATACAAAGAGCAACAATTGTGTAACATCCCCTCTGAAACATCCCAGTAAAAAAGAAGTCCTTTCCCTAAAATGGTGGAACATAGGGGAGCAGTCAAAATAAGCATATTCATCTTCTTTTTTTTTTTTTGGTGGGGCTGGCTTACTCAGGGCCAGTGTTTCCTAGGCAGGCACTTTACTACTTGAGTCACACTTTCAGCTAGCCTAGACCAAGACATTCCTATTTATGCCTCTTGGATAGCTGGGACAATGGGTGCCCACCACCGTGTCCAACTTTTATTGGATGAAATGGGGTCTCATGAACTTTCTGTCTGGGCTACCATCGAATCACAATCTTCCTGATCTCCACATCCTGAATAGCTACAATTGCACCTATGAGCCTTGGGGCCTGGCTTCTAATTTACTTTCTTCCTTTTTTTTAGAACATTTTCAAAAGTCTCTATTGCTGGGTTGCATATTCCATGGTAACTATTCTCTATGGGGTTCAAATCACCTTAATTTTGAAAGAAGGTCGTTTTAAAGTAAAACACATCAGTCCTAATGTGTTTTAATCTAGTCAGCTTTTCAGTAGAACAAATGATTGATAAAAAGCAATACTGTAAATGCAAACCCCAGAAAATCTACAAAATAATAGTTACCTGACCACATTATAAAACTACTATACCTAGTCAAATGGAAAAAAAAAACTATCAAAAGCATTTTTTAAGCTTATGACTTAATAGGAATAATATTTAGTCTAATTTTGTTCTAGTTGTCCAAAACCTAAAGTTTATGGCATTCTCTTATTTAGTGGTGCAATAAATTTCCCAAGCCTTCAATTTTTGACAACTACAAAAATATTTTCTCAATAATTTTCCAGAAGTTTCTACAGTATTTCCAAAAAAACTCTCCAATATAACAACTCAATTTTACCTATTTTAAACCAATTTTATCCCAGTATGGTGGTGCCTCCCTATATTTCCAGGAGGTGGCAATTAGGAGGATCAAGGTTCAAGGCAAGCTTGCGCACAAAGTTAGCAAGACTCCATCTCAATCAAAAAGCCAGGAGGGGTAGTAGGCACCTATAAGCTGAGCTACCCAGGAGGCTGTTATGTAGGAGGATATCTTGCCGGCCAGGGCAAAAAATATCAGATCATATTTGAAAAATAACAAAAGGCAAAAAAAGGGTTGGGGGGTGTGGATCAAGCGGTAGACCACTTGCCTAGCAAAGTGTGAGGATCCTGAGTTCAAATCCTAGTACTTCCAAAAACTAAAAAAAAGAAAACAATTTTATATTGAATGTATGAAATGTACTACTAGGGTGGTGATTCATGTACTAAATATTTATTGCTTGTGTCAATAAAAGGAATAAAATAGAATACAAAGGAATAAAATAAAAACCACGTAAAGACAAAGAACCTCTGCTGTACGCGAATTGTAAATACATTCAACAGAACCCAAAATAGAAAACTCTACAAAGACTCAAATTTTAACCTTCATTCCTTGTGGCAGTAACATAATTGAACCATTCTTTCACACTTGCTACTCCGTGGGGTGGATTTTCGTGGCGACGCCTTGTTATCTTTGTTATTGTTGCCATAGGACTTTCCAGAGCACCACATGGTTTGGTAACCATGGTATTATGACCCAGATGAAAATCCAGTGTTTGTACAATATATGTAGAATGATCACTAGAGCCTAGAGCAAAAGGAAAATGTTTTTTAAAGTGAAAAACTATATTTAGATTCAAGAAAATAGTTGTAGCCTCAGAACAACCTTTCCTAGATTTGCTAGGAAGGTTATAAAAATAAAGAATAAATAAGATATAATACAAATAATTGTTTCTTTTGGTTGTAATTGGATTTATCCCCAGTAAGATGAAGAGTGTCAATCATTTTTTCCTTCAATCTTCATCATTAAGAAACCACTGAACCTCCCTGGTTCATGGCCTGGTGGCACATGTCTCTCATCCCAGCACTCTGGAGGCTGAAACAGGAGGATTGTGAGTTCCTACCAGTCTGGACAGACTTCCCACTCAGTGAGACCCTACCTCAAAAAACAACAACAGAAATCACTAAGTAGGAAATTAAAGCACAAAGAACTGTGTTTTATCACTATGCACAGAGGAAAAAATATATTCTTGTCTGCAAGTTTTATAACATAGTTTTGACTTTCAAAGAATTTCCTCACTCTCCGACTATCTTCATATTTTTAGTAGGAATGCTTATTTATCCTTATTATTAAGACCAGCCACAGCAGCACAAAATTTAATTAAGAAATAGGAAATAAAGTGGTAAGTTAGGAGATATGCCAAAACTTGTTTGTTTAACATGTTCAAGATCTCATAGATATTGACAGTGAACTCCTTGACATGTCAGGTACAAGATAACAAACTAAAATGGACTTCTCTATAAAACACAAATTTCTCTAGTAAAACACACAAAATATCTGAGAAAGGAAAATTATTTTGTCATTTATAATCATATCAGAAGACAGGAGAAGTAAAGTGTGTCAGTTTACCATCTTCCCAGATTTTCTGAGCTTCAGTCCAAAAGGCAATATTTGGTTCTTCTAAATGAAAAAGGGCCCATGATTTTGAACGGAAATTTGGACCATGAAAACAAGCCAGTGTCATATGATTTCCATGTAAGCTCATTGATCCTCCAAATTGCATTCCATCTTCTGGTAATGGAATCGGAAATAAGGATATGTGGCATCCTGATACCACCTTCAATACTCCAGGCCAATGCCGATGATGAGCTGCATCAAGCACTGCAAGAAAACCAGAAAATATCCTGAACTGCCTCATGAACATCATGAATGGGGTAGGAAGGCAGCAGGTGGGAAAGCGACTCAGGTAATGCATGCAAATATCTCATACTTGGTTAACATTAAGCAACAGCTAACAGAGAGAATCTGGGAAAAGATGCTACATGAGGGAAAAGTAGTATATAACATAGTAAAGCAATAACTTGCTAATATTTACAACTAACATTTCTGTAATAATTATTTGATTTACAAAGTTCTTGTATGAAATTCTACATAATAAATAACTGTCAACTAAGTATATCATCTTGATTCTTTCAGGAACAGAGGGGTAAATGATCTTGAGTACATTTTTTACTCTTCTATGCCCTTGTTACTCAAACTGAGGTCAGAGGACCAGCAACATCAATATCACCTGGGAGCTTGTCAGAAATGCAGATTTTTTTTCCTTTTTTAAAATTCTTCTATATGGTACAGTTGATCTTGAGCCTGTAGGGAGTAAGCTGGCCCCAAATTTCTTCAAAAACACAGAATGCAGATTCTTAAGCCCACCTCATATTTACTGTAACAGATGTGCTTTTAAAAAAAGATTTCTAGGTGTTTCACATACATATTCATACTTAAGTTTTTCATTTATTCCAGTAATGTCCTTTTTGGCTATTTTCCACAATTCTCACTCATCTCAGCTCCAAACAACATGCCTTGTATTTAGCTGTCATGTTTTATTTAAAACAAGTCCCTGTACCTGATAATTGCTTCTCACAATAAGAAATATTTTGAAGAAACTAGACCAAGCATTTTGTGGAATAATTTGTATATGCCTGATCTAAAAGGTTTATGGAAACTATAGAGACCAGAGCAACAAGATAAATGATACCACAAAAAAAGCTATGATAAAAAAAATCTAGAATTAAGGTATACTGCAGGACAATTGGCCAGGTCTCTCCAGTTAATCTAGTCATACAAAAAGAACTGTGCCAAATTAAAAGAAAGTAGCCTGGCGCTGGCAGCTTATGCCTATTGTCCTAGCTACTCAAGTGGTAGAGATCAGGAAGGTCACAGTTTTGAAGTCAGCCAGGGAAAATAGTTCGTGAGACCCTATTGCAAAAAAAACTATCACAAAAATGGGCTGGTGGAGTGGCTAAATGTGTAGGCCCTGAGTTTAAGCCCCAGTACCACCAAAAAAAAAGGTAAAGGAAAACAACAACCAGATTTAAACTGTGATCTTAGATTGGATATACTGCTTGGAAGAAACCAATTGTAAAGGATATTTTTAGGGCAGTAATAGAGATCTGAAGTAATAGAGATTTGAAGGCCAGAGAAATTAGTTTCCCATCCTACTTAACAACCTTACCTGTGACCTGCATCTCAACATTTTCCTTATTACTCATTCTGCTCCAGCCACCGTGGCCATCTTGATGATTCTCTAATAAGCCAAGTTTGTTCCTACTGTAGGAGCTGTAGACCTTCCATTCCCATGTCCTCTTTCGCCAGATCTTAATTCTTTCATTTATTTAAATTTCTACCACACTCACTTCAGAAAAGGATTCTCTTAATCAGCCTCTCTAAAACAGCTCTTCTTCACCCTTAGATTCCCTATATCCTTCCCTTTGTTTTGAGGAAAGAACTCTCTACCTGAAATTACCTAATATTTTTAGTTAGTATATTAATTATAGTCTATCATCCCATTTAGAATGTAAAGCTTCATGAAGGTAGAGAATGTGCTTACCACTAAATCTCTTGTACTTAGAACAGTGCCTAAGCACACTGTTGTCCTTACTAAATATTTGTTAATTTCTGAATCACTGAGTGAAGAATAATAACCTGCCTACTATCACACAGCTAATAAACCTACACTCAGTTTCTCTGACTCCATAGCCCATGCTCCAAACAGATTATGGTACTGTCATAAACAGCAAACGAAAGCATGGAATGAATACAGCTGCAGTTGAATGGAGAAAGGGAGACGGAGATAATAAATGATAACTTCCCAAATGGCCTCTAGTAACGTTGGCAGGTAGGAATCAGTCCTTTGCTGAATAAATGGGACAAAGAGTATTCAGGAATACTTTGTAAGTATGGCACATAAATTATTTTAAATTAGGAATACAACACATATAGCAAAAGATATAACATATGTAAATATTTAAGTCTAATTCTTACATTGTTCTTGTGAACTTTTTTCTAGGTTGTTAGTAATTGTCTTTGGTGGAAGATAAGGAACTGGTCCCCAGGTAGACAGAGCTCGTTTGCTGGTGTCGAACTGTTGTGTGAAAAATTCCTGGAGCTTCATTCCTATTTTAATCAGATCTGGTGTAGTTGATCTTGATATCATTACTTGGAAAATATCCCACTTCAAATCTCCATGAACAAAAATCTCACTAGAAAATAAAACAGAATCTTTATGTCTCACACAAGATACTTTAAAAGTTTAAGAAAAATTCCCATCCCTACCCAGCCTTTTCATTTGTATTAGTTGCATAATAAAATCACTTGTAGGAAATGTGAACTGTTTGTCTTTTTTCCATTGAATGTTAAAAAAAAGAAATATGTGAAGAGCAGTCATATAAAACGTTCATAAAGAAATGTCTTAATACCTTTTATCAGTCATGCTTGAATCCAATGTATTATAGAGGTTTACTTTCCATTCATCCTGTAGCTTAAGGTCAGCATTACTGAAGATACCCATGAGGATACTTGAGCCCATGTAATCAACACGAGCTTCAGTAGAGCCCATAGTAATCTGAATTTTGTGGCTGGGTTGCTGATTTGGATGCTCAGAAATATGAGCTAAAACATAAATAATAATTACTTTCTACAGAAACATCTGTGGAAAGAACTCATCAAAATAAATTATCAAAAACATTTTCTCAATATAATTGAGGATATGTGATATTATCAAAATTTCAACATACCAACCATCTCCAAAGCATTGACATCTATGGTCCCTCCAACTACTCCTCCTTTAGAATCTAATTGTGATCTTCCCAGCCCAACAGACATGCTAATCTCTCGATCACGATTACTTCCTACTGATAGACGGCCCTGGCTCTTCAAACCACTCGTTGTCCAACTACAGAAAGGAAAAAGCACTATTAGATATATTGCTTCCAACGATGTGAATTTAAAAAGAAGTTAGATCAGATTATTTCAATAAACGGTCAAGTCTGACAATAAAACAACAACATACTTTCTTGTTTTGAGCCAGATCTCAATATTTCGCCCAAGCTCAAGTGATCCTCCCACCGCAGCCCCTAAAGGCATGCACTGCCACACCTGGCTCAACACATTTCTTATGGATGATGTAGCTTTATTCTTAGCTAGAAAATTATACTATTTTCTTTATATTTTTTCTTTTTATAGAACATGTTTCATGCTGTTTTGTATTACAGTATCCTTACAATTAAGCTATTTTAAGAATAGAAAAATTTCATTTATCTACTGTTTTTACTATCTCAAACATTTCAGCATTAAAAAGGATTTTGAACTGCTTTACTATAAGAAAAATTACAAATGATTAAATGTATCTTTTTATGTGTGTCTGAATAGCTTACGTTGTATTTCCCATTACATTACTCATATTCATTTGGACATTTAGTTGTTTCAAGTTGATAGCAAACACGACAAGTGTTTCCCATGGAGTCCCTTGTTGGCTTGCTGCTTTGTTTGACTTATTAACAGGAGTTGATGTTTTTGAAATTGAATCTAAAGACAGAAAAATCAAATACACATTTGTTCATATAAATGCCAAAAAACACTCTTATGGTCCAAACAGTAAAAATATGATATCCTTGTGTTAAGAACCTAATGTTTAATAGTTGTCATACTGCCTCTAAAATAAAAGTTATCACTTGCTGAATGCTTAGTAAGTGCTAGCAGGCTTTCTTCTTGAAAGCTTATAAAAATTCTATATTTTTATAATATGCCCCCATTTTCTATGAGGATATTTTTGTGTGCATGGGGTAGTAGTGATACAGATAATTCTTCACCCTGGGATTTTCTTTGATCATAAGAAAATCAAAACACATTTCTGTCAAGTTAAAAGACTCAAAGGTAGGGACCACTCTGAAATGCAGCTGCTGGCTGAGTTGCCAGCATCTTTTGTGTTCTAATGGACTTTAATCTCAGATTTGCTCAATAGACTTTAATCTTGCCTTGCAACAAGAAATACTCATTTTTATATATTCAGGCACAAGTTCAAGGCAAAACTCATCACATTAAGAGTTCAAAAAAATACTGACTGAAAAAAAAAGAATAAATGAATACAAAGATTAACTTTTCAATATCAAAGCATCTTTTGGAACATTTACAACACTGTACGTTTATTTCTAAAAGTAACTGCCATACAGATCACACTAACAAAATGGTGATTCTTCTATTACTATCTCTTTGCAAAGTTACTAGTTCTCTAGTAATCTCTTCTACTGTCAGTATTTTGAAGTGTTTGGTATTTGTTGTTGTTCCTGTGAATTTTTTTTCTCCCTAATTTATCATACAAACTTCAAGAGTGCATCTCACTTCAATTGGGGCAGTAATCTGGAAGAAACTGAGGATTTTATCTTGGGAACACTGGATGACCACTGATAAAAAGAATGGTGCTACCTCTTCGAGGAACTGAAGAATCAGATACACTCCTTGATCTTATGGAAGCTGGAGATTTCAGACTCTGTGCCACTGTCCCTGGTGACATGGTGCTGTTTGTCATATGCTCATTGAACAAATTAGGTGACTGAGGCATGTGGGTGAAGGAGACTGACTGACTTGGCTGCTCCCAGGTCCTGCAGTAAGCTTTCCTTGATGATTCAGGGGAAAGGTGCTGGCTTACCCCTTCAATGGAATCAGGTGTCCCTGGACCAGATGCTAGTACAACAGTAGAAAACAAACAAAGTAACAAGGTAAAATCACTATGTGATAAAATAATTTCATCCAGACACCATTTCACATGACATATTCCTTCTTACTTCGTTTAGCAACTCTCAGGCTGCTTGAAGTTTACAAACAACATGCAGTATTTTATTATCACAGAAACTGCATGAAAAGAAGGGCAGAAAAGTATTCTGGTCCCATTTCATATGTTAGAGAATAGACCCAATCCTAGGATCTCTAGCATTGTCAACAGTATCCAGATGACTCTATACTTCCATAATTCTCTCTTGAGCACATACTATAACAATATCTAAGACTAACAAGACATATGAAGGCAAAAATGGTAACATGTCCCCCAAATTTTCTTTTTTCCATGTGCTTTAACAAGGATTAACTTGGATGATTAATAGTATTTCTGCACTGCCAGATTTTACAAAGACTATAGAGTAGTCATTATGGAATAAAATTTCAGCTAGAATATAATCTCCAAGAGAGCAAGACTTTAGTTTATTTAGTTCTGCGATGTATGTCCAGTGATTTGGCATATTACAAGAATTTGAGACATTTTTTGAATGAGTGAATGAATCACGTGGTATAACTTACAAAGTAAGATAAAATTTTTGCTATCAATTATGGAACTTGCTACTAATATAAACAAAATTAAAAAGTAACCTAATTATAATTATGTAGCAAGCTTACTTGGCAAATTTATAGTTTGGTCTCCAAGGAATAGACGTCTTGCAATACTTCTCCTATACCACGCCCTTGGAAACGCCAAAATTTCACTGAGTCGGCGCATGTCATATTTAAAGGAGGCAGACCCTATATCACAAACAGCTGACACAAAAATAAAGTTTGTTAGAACTTAGAACTTATTTTTAAAACTTTTAATATTTTTACACGGTGGGTATCAAACAGACAGCTGAATTTCACTTAATGTTATAATTCACAAAATATCAAAGTAAGTTATGTATTATGCTTAACAAGTGATTAATTTGTGATCCTTCCACAAATTATAGAAACAGTACATTGAAAGACTGTTAGCTCCATTTCCTTTATGAGGTGGTAGCAAGTTGGAATTCTATTATTTCTCTATCATGAAGTTATAAGAGATGTTCTAAAGATCAATATCATAACCAACTTTCCACTTTAACACAGGGCTCCTCTCAAATATGAAAATGACTTATCAGGATGAACTGCAAACCAAATATTTGTGTGGTATTGATTATTATTTTCCCTTTAGACAAAGAGCAGCAACTTTTAGGAAAAAAAGCATTGTGGTGACCTTCTCTGAGTGTTCTGCTCTGGCACTCTTCTATTCCTGCATTATGTGCTCCTCTATTCCCCCAACACAGTTTCTGTAGGATTTATTACCACTAACTCCCAAAGCAAAGACCTTATTTCACCCTGGGTCCATACCCACACTGTCCATCAGCCAAGTGCCTTTCCACTAAAATGTCCTATAGGGATTTCTTCTTTATTTTATTTTTATCTAAGTTAATGGCTTCCATTATCCTTTAATTATCTAAGCTAAAATTTTAAGGTAATCTTGTCTCCTCACCTGTTCCTTATATAATATGTCTTCGTAAGCTGGTATATTCTCTTATTTCTCATGAAAACATCCCCTTCATTTTTGCTTTCACAATTCAAGCCTTCACTGACTACTGCTTGGTCTCTTTAAATAGCCACCTCAAGCATCTTCTTTCTCACATCTGTCATGCTATCATCAACTTTTTGTAAAACACAATATGAGGCATCATCCCATATCTTTAAAACCTCTAATGGCTTCTGATTTTCTGAAGGACCAGAATCTCATTCTTTGCCTGGTGTGTGAATCCATCTATAATCCGGTCCTAGTCTATTTTGTAACCTTTTCCTCTACCCAGTCCTCTCTCCTTCTGAGCCTAACTACTTTGTACAATGAATTAAATGTTCAGTTATATCTATGCATCAGTCACAGCAAACCAAAGTGTGCTCCAAAAGCATTGTTTTTGATGCTTTAATGACAAGGAATATCATGTTGTTATCTTTAAGAATATTACTTCAAGAAATTCTTCTTGGAATTTTTTGTTATTTCTACTGTGGCCCATATATCATTTTCTTGGCAAAACCTTCTCTGATCTCCCACAAAATACAGAAGTCATGGTTTCTTCATTTTTATAGACACTTCTCTTGTGCCATAATCATCCTGCACTGTCAGTTGTCTACATATAAGATTTTATCTTATTTATGCATCCTCTCCTATCAAGTAACCTAGCAGAGTACTTGAAAAAAATTCACCACAAAACATAGGCTTAATGTTTGCTGAATGAATGTCAGGTAAGAAAATGTATTTCTTAGATTAATAAAATTTTTCACTTGGTATTCTGAATGCTTCAAAATGTTCCATATGCATTTAATTTTAAGAATTCAAGCCACAATGTAAAGAAAATAAACGAGGTGGCCATAGCTAGTTATTAAGCTTGCAATACTCACACACAGAAGTCAAGACTTTCTGATGCCAAATAAATTTTTTTTAATGTCACTCATCTCTCTTTTGTGTTTTAAGCATTTATAATTAGAAAATAAAACATTAAAAAATCAGAAATTTTAGCAATTCATGGTAGAGAAGAAGTAAAGTAATTTTTAGCTATTTCTAACATTTATTGCTTGGGTTAAGATGGTACTATAATCTGGACTGTCATTTCTCCCCATCATCAAAGCTTAGTATTAAGTGTACTTCATATTTAAACACTGTTAAAACAGAGGCCATCATTTAATTCTGGAAAACAATATTTTAATTAGAAATTATAAAACTGAATACCAGATATATTTATTAATGTAGTGTCCATTTTGCTTGTAGGCTTGCTTACAGACTGACTTTCAAAAAATGAGGCACCTCCTGAACGCCTTATCCGAGACAAACTCACTTTTACAAATTCAAGGTTTATGCTGAGTGAGTCTTTTCGACCAGTGACTGAAGTGGGCTCCTCATCCACATTCCCTAAAAAAGCAAACAAACAAGCACCCCCCACCCCCAAAAACACCTATTATCTATTATACATGTATACACACACAAACACATTGAGTTAAAGAAAATAATCCAATACATTGTAATATACCATCAATTAAAACCACTTAAGCTAGGTAAAAATTTAAGCAGAAAAGTCTAATGAGCATCTGTATTCCTAGTAACAGTTTAATAGGTTGAAGAATATAAACATAATTGATGATTTTTACAACTTTTCTCCAACAATAAATCCTAGAGTTGACATGGAGTGTGTCTTCATTATTTGTCTAAATAAAAGTGAAGGAATATTCACTGACAAAATCTTACGCATTTTAGTGGTTCATCTATGTTTTAAAATGCTAGTGAAACTCAATTTCACTAAACAGCTGACTTAAATAATAGTCTTATTTAAAATGAGTAAACATGACCTATACACTTTAAAATTTTACTTCTTATAGAAGATAATTTCTTACACAAATAGGTATTTAAACATGTAAGTAACATACGAAACCCCGATATCTGAAGAGATTTGTCCTGTGTATATCACTTAGAAAACATTCTGAATTTTTAAATTATTGTATCACTAATTTACCTGAACTTATTTCATATTTCTACTTATTATGTAGGGATAAAATACATATTATCAAAATGAAAATTATAAAAAGCTTCTGATCTTTGCTAATATCCATTAGTAAAGGTATTACAGTTATGAAAAGAAAGCTTGAAAAGATGCTACAAAAGACACAAAAATGCAAAGTATACCTAATCCTCCTGATCCAGGTGTAAGGCCAGAAACAGCAGTTTTTTGTTTCCCTGCTCCATATGGATGAAATACATACAGAGAAAAGTCAGACATGCATGCAGTGAAGCTCAGGCCAGATGAACTGCTGCTGGAACTGGTCAGATCTGACTGACTACTACTATGCCGACTTCTCCCCAAGGGGCTGCCTAATCCTGATGAACCTACAGTGAATATAAGAAACCCAAAATACTTATAAGCCATAAGAAAATTTAAAAATCCAGTCACTAATATGTTCTCAAAAGCCCAACATGACTTCAAAATAAAATAGATCATGTTATGAATTAATCATATGCATGCATGCAAACACAGATATCAAACCAAGCTCTGGGGACAAAGCAAGTTCTAAAAGTTTTCAATACATAAAATCTTCAGCATTTTCTTTTGTGATTTCTTTATGTTTAGGGCATTTAGCTTTGATGGCACTAAGCTTTTAGTGAGAAGTGCCTATCTCATTAGGAAATATCAATTGTATTTTAAAAACAAAACTTTTCATGAACCAGACAGACATGAGTTAAGACAACAAATTTTTTACATTTAAAAAATGTAAATGCTTCTGGATACAATTCTGATACAGTGAATTAAAAAATCTTTATGACAACCAGACAAGGTGGCTATTGCCTGTAATCCCAGCTACCCAGGAGGGGGAGATGGGGAGGATCTTAGTTCGAGGCTAGCCTGGGTAAAAAGCTAGCAAGATTCTCATTTCAATCAGTAAGTGGAGCATGGTAGTGCTAGTGGGAGGCATGTAGGAGGATCATGGCCCAAGACTGACTCCCAGAGCAAAAGTGCAAGCTCTACCTGAAAAATAAAGCCAAAAGGGAGGGATGGAGGCATAGCTCAAGGTGTAAAGCACCTGCCTAGCAAGCACAGGACTCTGAGCTCAAACCCTAGGAACTGCAAAAACAAAAAAACGAAACAAGAAACTGTATATGGGTCTTATTTTTTATTTACAACATTGATTGTTCTTAGATGCAAACTCTAACTTAACATAAAATGAAACGTCCAAAAGTAGTTCTGTCATAGTGCTTATACCATGTACATTCAAACCAAAACCAAAATGCTATCTGTTGTTGAGGGAAAAATACAAACTAATGGATATTCATCAAGTGCTAATAACACATGGAATATACTAAAAACTTTGGTCTACTATGGATTTTTTCTATAAATATTCTAATCCTCACATAGTCTTTGTTTCTAAATTTACTTAAAATATGTATCAATAGCTATTAAAATATACATTTAAAAATAGTATCTAGCTTTATATCAGAACAATTAAACAATGTTTCCATACCTGGTATTCCAGTTTTGCTAGCAGAAAGCTTTGTTCCACTCTGAGGAACATTACCTCCAGGGGATAAAGTTTCTGCAGGATATGCAGTCCCCAAAGTCTCCAGTTCTCCTCGGTTTGAAGAAAACACCAAATCCAGGGAAGGCAGCTTTAGCATACATTCTACTCTTGATACAGGTAAACAGCTAAATTTGATCTGTGAAGGCTAAAAAAGAGTAGAAAGTTAAAGTAAAAAAAGCTTTCTAGGAAATGCATGGTTGAAAATTTCATACTGGAATTCCAAAGTTATATGTGACTTCCATTTCAGCCCTCATATATCAAATTTATCATGGTTATTTTGTTTAATGTCATTGCTTTTCAAACAGAAGCATGACACATGGAATAAAATTTATTACAAACTGGTATCAGTTTTAAAAATGTTAAATATTTGAGGAGCTATCTCTGGGCAATATTTAGACATTAAGATAATTCATAATCTTAATCATGTTTATGCTCATATTATGCTTGTACATGATCAAAACTTATAAAGGAAATAATGTCATATTAAAAATGTATACACATGTAAATAAATGAATTTAAAAAATTCATTTATTTACATGTGCATACATGAAAACACATATTAGTAAAAAAGGCTTTATAAACCCTCAGTCCACCCTTATGCATTTTCATCAGAACTTCAAAAAAGCTACTATAGAACTTGAGTATCAGACTAAAGATCTTTTGGTCAAATCACTATTAAAAGAAAGAGCTGAAATGGATGGACATCAGGAGTGGTTTTTCATTCTCAAGACTGATTATAAAATTTTAATTAAGGATAAACTAAACCTTGAACTTTAGATACAGGAGTACTTTTCAAATCTTCCTTTATGAAAATGGATTCAATCATGTGCTAATATATATTCCCAAGGCCTGTTTCTAGAACTGCATTTTAAATAAGATTGGCACGATCAGGGTGGTATGGCCATAGACAGGACTGTATTTTAGAATAAAATATTAAATAAAAACTATGTAACTCAATCAAAGATATTACCATGACTGTATCTTAATCTGCCCAGAAAGGATTTCAATGGTTATGTACAAAAGGTGCCATAATAAAAAAGGCATAAAATGCTTCAAAAGGATTTTAACTTATGTTTTAAGTTTTTGTCATAAAAATATGAGATCTGAATTTTGAAAACCCAAAATCTTTGAAACTTTTCAGAAAAAAAGTAAACATTCACGTAAAATTTTACATACACTTTCCAGACTTCAGATAATCTCTAAGCCATTATAGACATACTAAAGGTCCTTGAAACCATGAGTAAGAAAACTTTAAAGAGAAATAATGCTGAAATGTTCAAATAAACTTAATAAAAATAATTTTCCTTGAAAAAGAATATATTTAGCATATCACCTGAACTCGTACATAAACCACAACATCTACAGGGAAGGAAGAGTAAGCAGAGGTTGAAGATGATACTAGTGATGTTGTTGATTCTTCCATAGGATCTGGTATTTCAAAATGCCCCATATCTTCATCTTGTGAGCTGATAGCTGTTAAAATATTTAGTTTTAAGTTTTATTATTAGGTTAAGAGCAAACTATTAAAAGACCCTTATCTCTTATACCAGTATTGACCTTAAGAGGCATGACAATCCAGAAATATTTGCTTCTGTAGTTCATCACTGTACATATCTTTTCCTACAATATGATACTGACTTTGTGCTCTATGTGTGTTATATATCCCGTATCTAGAGATAATTATATTGGCTCTCGTTGACCTGACATATGGCGTGTAATTCAGACTCAGTTATTGAGTATTCTAGTTTTAGTCTAATCCTATGCGTTAAGAGCCAAACTCATTTAACAGAGACCTCTCTATCTCTTATACCCCCAGTATGTGTGGTGCGTGGTGTGTGTGTGGTTGCAATTCCAGTTGCTAGAATATATCTCTAGTCCTACATCAAACAACTTCCTGAGATCTAATTAGGCTTACACTCATAAGTGCCAGATACTCAAATGTCAGAATTCTTATCACGGAGTAATCTAATGTGACAACTCTTGACCTCTCTTGTAATATTTCTTTCAAGTGTTCCAATGACGATTTCTCATGAACCTTTCAGTTCCCTCTTTTCCAGGTTCATTATACTAGTTGCACTGCGGGAGTCCCCATTCCTCTGTAGTGTTATATCTGAGACTTTCCTAGTTATTAATTTTAGAGTACTTGAATAATCTGAGTTCCTCATAAATGTTATAAAAGATCAAATACCTAGATCTAAGTGAGCATGTATATTTTCCCTATAACTCACTGTGTAGTGTCATAGCGTGGTTTCCTGTAAATACAAAATTAGAGTGGCTTGTACTGCTGTGTATTATAATATCCTTTCCGCAATTTGGTTTATCCGGATAACTGTGTTTGATGTTTCTATCCAGAAGCTGTTCCAGACGTACTAATAGGCAAGGACTAAATATACCATTTGCTATACTGTTGGTAGAGAGACTGAGTCTTGGTTAACCAAGGTCATGTTTTATAAGTTCTTGCCTGTCGTAGTAAAAATCTTTCTCCTCTTCACTTCTGCTTTTTTCGGTCTATTGGTCTTAGTGAAACACATTTCTTATGACTGAATTGCACTGTTAACAATTGCAATTGGAACTCTCTCTCGATATATAAAAAGTTCCATACCAATTACTAACATGTACAAGCAGACCGTTCATGAAGGACATACAATTATGACGCTGTTTCTATCAATAATAATCTCTCGGGTCGAAGCAACTTAATGCATTGAACGGCCTTTACTACTCACGTAGGAACTACATAATATATCTAACCGCACCGATAGGATGGCACAATGAATACCAATTGATGGACTATTCTACATTTAGAACATCTAAGATCAATTGTAGTAGGATCTTTAAGTACCATCAACAGATATTATTTCACGCTTTACTATAGCCGTCATCCATGATCTCATAAACATTTCTGCGCATTTGAATTTATATTGATTTTTAAAATCTTCAAATAACCCTCTTCACTGAAAGTTCTCATCCTCAATCGTCGAACGCATGTACTCTTTATTCATATAATTAGAAAATAGAGAATCTCCTTAGCAACTAATAACCTATTATAAGTGGTTTAGATAGTAACGGAAAAAATGTCTATGTTTTATTACAGGGTCGTTTTCCTTACAAACCTACTCTGCCCTCTGCGACGATACTTCATATAATGCTGTCCCTCCTAATCTGGTAATACTACTTCATTTCGCTTTCTTTTCTGTCGTAAACGTAAGCATTTCTCTTTTTTAGTAAATATTGGATAGAAAACAAATCTAACAAATGTTTAGTAGGAGATTAACTGTTGATTAGTTTTTCCTACTAAAATATTTAATTAGTGTGTTGGATGATATTAAGGCTAATGCTTAGATGGCTATGAAACTTAACTCTCCTCATTTATAAAAAATCGGTAGCGAATAGCTGCCTGTGGAACCAGGATAACTGTGAATCTCTGCACATTTGCACTCTCAAGTGTGTTTATGTCTTCCATATTTGGGTAAAGTGATCAAAAATTTAGGCATTATCATCAGGATTCTCACCCAATTTTGTAAATCTTTATGATATGCAAACTCTGTTCCCAAGTGAAACTTCCTCAAAAATAAATTTCTTGTCCATGCTTGATGAGTTAGTTGTTTTTGAAATATACAGGTTACTGGTATTGTCGTCGCTTTGTACTATAGCTGAAGAAGATTCCCACAGATAGGCTTATCAATGCTCTTGCCTCTGATGTATTCATTGTCACGATTCCCTCAGTGCAATGACCTTAGTGTATCAATAAAGTATTGTACAAGTGATGGTGTGTAACTTTTGCGAGGAGGATAACATAACACAAGGTTAATATAGGTTTCAGGCTGTTATTATACTTATTTGCATGAGCCACCATTTTTGTTTATGAAAAGAGTTGGTCAGAGAGAGCCTAAGGTCACTGAAAGACGAGAACCCCTCGAAGTTGGATGAGGTCCCGTAGAGTGGATATGCGGACAAGTTAGCTCCAATCATGTGAGCATGAACATGGAGGCGCATGAAAGGATTTTTCAGACCTAGTGACAGGTATTTCAGGTGACTGCAGATCTAGTAACAGTCTGGACTGCCATTCTTCATGAAAAAGAACCCATGGGTGGTAGATCTACCATTACAATTTTGCCTCTTGCTTTTTTGGTAAATGAGGATTTACTATTTGTCATAGTGTGAACGTAGAAGTATAGCTTGCTTCCATGATATTATAGATGGAAAAAACAACTATGTACATAAATAGAATTAAATTAAAAATAGCAGAGTAGGACCCATATGCAAAATTGTACTCTGTGCCTTCTTTTATTTAGTTTTGGTTATTTATATATAGTTTGAACTACCATAAGAACTCTCATATTGTCAATACTACTTGACCTAAAAATTAGTTAATTATTTTGATAAATTAGGGATCATAGACAGAATACTCTGGTAATACCAATCACGTGATTCTTCAACATATAATGGGTTATAGTAGTACCTTTCTTTTTCTTTATAACTGATGATACAGCTCTGAAAGTTTTCAATAGGAGCAAAAGGTGATTGTATGAGGATCGAGAGCAAAACTAAGAAAAAAAGGTGACAAACACATATTATCTAATTACTCTTGGATGGGAATATGTGTTGAGGGGGGGGGATGGAAGTATAAGGTCGTTAGTCATTCGTACTCGTGTGACTCTAGTGCAAGTATAGAGGAGGAGAGGAGGAAAGTAATTGTCTGCGCTAAATTTCTTTTCATTACCATACAGTTTGGATTCTTTGGAGAGTGTTCTGGGCAAGGAAGATCCTCTGGAGGCATTAGGTGATTCAGTCTTTAGTGTCTTGGAATTGTAATGCAACTGTATCAAAAAACATAAACTTCAAAATTAACATTTTACAGCTAAGGAAATACTATGAAATATAGAAAATGTAGTTTAAAAAAAAAAAAACTAATTCAGGAGTCTAAAGACTCATTTGTAGCTTTTAAAAGTTAGCTTTATGATCCTGGCAAGACTTTGCTTTTTCATTTGTAAAATTGGGTCATTCCAGACAATCTTTAAAGTTCTTTCCAGTTTAGTAGCCTAAGATTCTATAATTCTAGAATCTAAAAAAAACCAGAAAAACAAACAAACATAGTTTAATGAAGCTGCACTAGGCAAGGTTTATGAACTATCTAAGGCATGCTATAAATATCAATATAACTTCTTTCTGCCAAATTTTCATGGGAAAAGCTGTGTAAATGATATAGCAACCTGTAATTTAGATATTCTTATGTTCAGAACATGTCAGAAAGTCTCATTTTTAACATAACGAGCAAAAGAAGATCATATATGATAGAAAATAAACACCACCAATAATATTCTAACCTCTTATCATAGACAAGTAGGATTTACCTTTACATCAACTCCAGGAATATAAAATACTGTTGTTTCTAAGTCACTAGACTTTGTCTGTAGAGATGATGGTACTTTTTTGCCACTCATTAAATGGGTGGTAGAAGCATAATTGGTTTGAAATTTCTTCTTTTTTGAAGGAGAATCTTGATCTAAACTCCTGGAACTTCGATCATAACTCCTAAGCAGAGAAAAATTTAAAAAAAAAAAGAAGAGAAAAATGTTTTATTATTTAAAAAACATTTATCTCCTCCTCTTTTGTTTCAAAGCAAACTTTTTCTTAACACAGTTAAGTGGAAAGTAATTCTTTATTTAAAAAGCTAAAATAAGTAAATCTCAGCAGGGTCTCTAGCTAGACTTGTAATGCTTGTATGAATAAAGTTAACATATGTTTCATAATGACATAGGGTAGCTACCTTAATTATTATTATTTATCTTGTTTTTTTTGAGTCAGAATCTCATTATGTAGGCCAGACTGTCCTTGAACTCAAAATCCTCCTGTCTCTACCTACTGAGTGCTGGATTACAGGCATACATAATCATGTCTGGCTATCTTTATGCTTTTCTAAGGTCATGACAGTTTCTATTGAATATTATAGGGTGAATCAAAAGAAACTACCCATATTATAGATAGACACCTAGCTAAATATCAGCACTTTAAAAATGACTTAAAAATCATTCTTCACTACTTATTTTGTAAGACGTTTTTAACATTGTCTAAAATGTCATTATTTTCTCTCTTATTTTATAAAAGCTTAATTAGACCACTTAAATCATTTATTATGAAACATTTCAGATACATATAACAGTAAGCAGAATGGTGTAATAAATCCACCACATGTCCCATTACCTGCTTCAACACTGTAAGCATTCTGTTGCTCTAGTTTTATCTACATTTCTACCCACTCACTCAATTATGACTACTATTTTTTTTATTATTTTTTGCAATACACTTTTAGATCAGGAAAAAAAGAAAAATTCAAAGAAAAGATAATCTAATGCTTCCACCATTTAATTAATGACGGAAACAAAGGGTAAAATTGCAATGATATCCTGATCATTTCAGTGTAAAGAGGTCTATTTGTACAACAGTCCCTCAATCTTTTTTATTTTTTTCTGACAGTACTGGAGTTTGAACTCAGGGCCTTATGCTTGCTAGGCAGATGCTCTATTACTTGAGTCATGCCTCTAGCCTTTTTTATTCTGGCTATTTTTTGAGAGGATCTTGTTTTTTTCCCAGGATAGCTTGGAACGTAACCCTCCTTATTGATACTTCCTGCCATGGCTGGAAAGACAGGTGTGAACCACCACACCTAGCCTTTTCTGTTGAGATGGGGGGTCCTGCTAATTTGTCTAGGCTGGACTTGAACCATAATACTCCCAATCGCAGTCTCCCACATAGCTGGGATGACAGATAAATGTCACCATTCCCAGCTACTGGTCGAGATAGGGTCTTGTGAACTTTCTGCCAGGACTAGCTTCGAATCCTGATCCTCCCCATCTCAGCCTCCCAAATAGGATTATAGGCATAAGCCATTGTACTTGCTAATCTTTCTTATTTTATGAACTCATTAAAACTCTCAATAACCAAGAGAATTACACTGTTCTTTAAAACAAACATACAAAATATAAGGACAGAGCTTGTTGAAAGGAGAAATTCAAAGATACAACTATTTTAATTACAAATTTACCAAATTCTAAATTAGACATCTATATCTAGTTGACAGAAAACACTATGCACTTATTTTAAAAAGACTGTGTGCTATGCAAATAATACAACTATGACCATTTTGAGATTGGGAGAGAAGTTAATGATAACTGTGTGATACCTGAATAGTGCTTCACCAGATGAATTTCTACGTATATTTTTCCAACCAATTTCTTACCTTCTTAAACTTATATCATCATGTTCTTGTAGAAGGGTGGTTGGATGGAGTACACATTTTCCACTATCAATTTCAACCCGTATATCAAGTTCGAAGTCAATATTTCTCTCAGTAGCTGTGCCACTAAGACTTCGGTTAACTGGTGTTGTTGGCCAGCGTTCTGTCAATAGCTGATGAACAGCAGCAAAACCTGTTGCTTTTCTGCGAGAGGTATGTCTAGAGAAAGAACAAGTGATCAGTACTTTGTAATAGAATGGGAAGTCTTTCTAATAACTGATTTTCCAATTTGTTGTGTGAGCAACAGTCTGCAAGCAAATTTTATTATTTTATAAACTCACATAAATTACTTAACTAGAACATACCAAATGAAGTTTCTCTTATGTTTAATGGAGCCACATTTTATTCAATAACGGTGAACTGCATTACTATTGAATGCCAGGGAATGTGCTAGGTGAGGAGGACAAAGGAATAACTACTATTAACGAGTTTGAATTTAAATGAAGTACATTCTGTACATTGGAAATTTCCATTTTCACCAAACAAAAATTTAAGTGAATTGTCCCCACTTTTATTAAAAGACAAAAGAACAAGGAAGGAACAAAAAGTAATGGCAATGCTCTTCAAATGGTGGTGGGTAAACTGGGCATCTACATTCATAATAAATAAAAGTAAATCCTTATCTTATACAAAACAAACAAAAAAAATTCAACTCAAGCCAGGAATGGTGATGCAGGCTTATAATTTCGGTACTCAGAAGACTGAGGTAAGAAGGTTGCAATTTCCAGGCCAGAATGGCTACATACTGAATTCCTGTTTAAAAAAAAAAAAATCAACTCACAATGGATTAAAGACCTGCAACTGTAAAACTCCTAGAAGAAAACATAGTGAAAAAGCTCCATGACAACTGATCATGAAGACAGTAAAATAAAAAAGACAGTATTATATCAAACAAAAAACGTGTTTGCATGGTAGAGAAAACAAGAAAGCAAAAAGATAGCCAATGGAATGAGAGAAATATTTGTAAACTATGTATCTGATAAGATGTTAATTTCTAAAATACATAAGGAACTTCTTTAACTCAATAGTAATGAATAACACAACTATAAAATGGGTTAAGGACCTAAATAGACAATTCTCCAAGAAAACATAAATAATAGCTAACAGATACATGAAAAGATGTTCAATATCACTAATCATCAAGGAAGTACAAATCCAAATCACAATAAGTTATTGCCATATACCTATTAGGATGAGCATTATTTAAAAAACAAAAGACAACTATTGGGACAAGGATATGGAAAAACAAACTCTTATCCATTAGTGGTAGGAATGTAAAATAGTGCAGCCACTAAAAAAAACAGTATGGAAGTTCTGCAAAAAATTACACATAGATTACCATATATGATCTAGCAATCCCACCTCAGGGCATTTATCCAAAAGAACTGAAATCAAGATCTTGATATAAATGTCTGCTACAGCATTTTCCACAATAGGCAAGATGTGGAAAGAATTGGAATGTCTGTCAACAGATGAGTGCAAAAAAAAAAAAGTAATATATACACACAATGACTATTAGTCAGTCTTAGAAGGCAATGGTGCAATATACAATAATATGAATGAACATTATAATTATACTAAGTGATAAAAGCCAATCAGAGAAGGATAACTCCTACATGATTCTACTTATATAAAGTATCTAAAATAGTCAAAAGTTATAGAAAACAGAATGGTAACTGGCATGAGTAATTGCTAATAGACAGGTTTTAAGTTTCAGTTATGCAAAATGAACAAATACTAGAAATGTGCTATAGAATATCAGGCCTATAGAAAACAGTGCTGTATTGTACACTCAAACATCTCTTACCAAAATAAAAATTATTTTAAATGATCAATGTATACCTGGAAAAGATGGCTACACTAATATAAATTATGTATGAATAAACATAAGTTAAAAGATTTTAGTCTCTTTTTAAAGCAAAAGAGATATAGATAAGGTGTCCAGGAGAACACCTTAAGGTTTACTGACCTTTAGGTCTAGTATTAATAGAGAAGATGTAAAGAACTTACCTAAACAACTATAAAGTAGTATTTTCTAAAGCCAATTGAAAATTTGTTTTAAGAAATAACAACATATCTAGGAAAACTGTGTAGAAAAAGACTTAAACTTGGACATATCACTGTGAAATTAAAGAACACAAAGATAATTTTTTAAATCCTTAAAACATTCAGGGAGAAAGAGACATTAAGCTGGTTACAGAGATATTTGCCTGTAATCCCAGTTCTCAGGAGGCAAAGGCAACAGAATGGAGAGTTTGAGGCCAGACTAGGCAACACAGTTAATTCAAGGCTAGCCTGGCTACCCAATGAGACTCTGTCTCAAAAAATAAACAAAACCAAACATTTAAAAATATATACCCAAATACATATATACATACGTACATACATGTGTGTACATGTGTGCACACACACACACACACACCCAAGTGATATTTATAGAATTAGAAAGGACTATAAACAGCTTATGCTAAATATTAATGTTTTCCTACTAGAAAACACACAGTACTTTACATACTAAAGTACGGGAGAAAGTACATTTGTATTAAAACTTTTTTTATAAAGTTGTTTGAGGATTTATTCCAGAAAAATGAGGGAATAAACCAAAATAAGCTGATATAAGAGATTCATGAGTTAATGGCTATAGTTTAGGGAAAGAAGAAATGATTCTCTACAGCTCAGAATTAAGAAGGGGACAGTTCCTTATAAAGTAACTTTCAGTTATTACCCTTATGCCTGGCTAATTTTCCATTATTTCCATTATCAGACACTCTTAACTATTTAGTGTCATAACCACACTTCAGGGCTAGTTTAAGAAGATCAGTTCAAAGGATCCTTCCATCTCTTCTTGAGGGCATATTTCTGAGAAAGATTTTCATATATGTCCTTTATTTCATTAACACCATGTCATTTCTTCTTACAAGAATTTTTTTAAATCCTTCATATACTGCTAAACATTCCCCTTTACTATATTTTTCTTAACTAAACCTTACTATTTGGTTTTCTTGGCAATTCATTATTTTTTAAGCCCATCAGGAATATAGCTCACTCCTCTAACTCATAACCACATCTTTATTTCCATGTTCTTGAAAGGGATTATCTTGGAGAAATAATTAAAGTGATTTGAATAAAATTACTGACATTAAAAAAGAAAAATAATGCCGTATGAAGCTAAATTACATTAGTAAACCATGGATATGTAATTAAGGGATACATGTCTTAGCCTTACTCAAGCTGGACACATGAAAAGATTTTTTGGTAAAGACTAAGTTAGCTACAATGCTTTAGGCTCAGTTCTAGATTCTAAAATACTACCTAAGGATCTTAAAACATAAATGCTACTCACGAGGTTTTCCTGTAAATGTAAAATCTTTCCCTTTCACGGTCTTCATCTTTCTCATCCTTTTCAGAATCTTCACTGGTAGAAGACAAACTGTCATCTCGCCGACCCTCCTCAGACTGGAAAGGAATGCTTGATGAAAAGCTGCCTGTAGTTTTGGGAGAACTGAACATGGAACATGACCCTTCACTATTTGATGAATAATGTGATGGGCCTTCCATAGTTACTGACAAAAGGTCCAGTTCTGTCTCCTCTGGAAACTGATTATAAAAAGAGAAAAACATGAATCAGACTCATATTTCAAGTCCCCTCAATTAAAAAAAGAAAACAAAAAATACGCAAGCCTAAACATTCTTAATAGTGTGTGTACTGTTATCTCATCATGACTGTAAGAGATTTTTATAGATATATCTTCAAAAAAGAGCCCTCGTAGGTTGATAAATAGTTGAATACTAAAACATGTATCAGCCAAACTTAAGAATGCTATATTTTAAGGTAAACGGCATCTATAATACCATCTCCCAATCTTAGAATTTTAGCAGGAAACCACTGCTTTTAAGTCAGACTAAAACACCAACACAATTGCCTCTGACTTTATTTTGATTCCAAGCTTCACATTGTTGGATGAGTATCATATGAAAATGATTAGCCTTTGTAAAGTATAATGTGCAAGATAATATAATTTATTACTAAAAATTATTGGATGCTACTACAAAACTCAGTGAAATCCTGGAACCAAACCTTCAAACATTTCCAGAAATCAGGTGCTCTTTTCATGCTACAAAATGAACATGCTACAAAATAAACTTATAAAATAAGTAAATTAGATTTGTCAGAACATGTTCCATTTTAAAAAACTGAATGTTTTATAATACTTTTATGTAACTATGCATTAATAATATATTTTGTAACTTATGACTAGCAAGACTGACATGTAATCTTGTATTTGCTATCTAATTTATGACTTTTTAAATATCATTTTTTAACAAGCAGAATATACTGTTATTTAAAAATAGGACTTGAATCTGGAAGCCAGTGGTTCGACCTAAAATCCTATATATATAGGAAGTGGAGATCAAGTGTATTGCAATTCTAGGCCAGCCAGGGCAAAAAGTTCACAAGAGCCCATCTCTTGTGAAGAAAGCTGTCACAGTGGCATGTACCTGTCATCCCAGCTACTGGGAAGCATAAAATAGGAGGATTGTGGTTCAAGCACGGACAAAAAGTGAGATCCTACCTCAAAAGTAACCAGAGCAAAAAAGGGCTGGAGAGTGCCTGTCTAGCAAGCCCAAGTCCCTGAGTTCAAACTCCAGGACCAAGGAAAAAAGATAGGACTTGAATCATTTCTAATATTAATGCCTTTAAGAATCACCTAATTAGGGTTGGGGATGTAGCGCAATGGTACAACACTTGCTTGGTTAAGGTCCAGGGATCTACTCCCAGCACCAGAAAAAACAAACAAAACAAACCCCATCTAATTAGTAAAATTTACTCAGTTCACACAATTTGGTTCCAAGATTTTCAATTAATTTGAAAGAAGAATATTCAACAAGCTTATTATAATCTAAAACAAAATCCAGTTTGATTAAATTCTGCGTAAGGACAAAGGAACAAAATAGATTTGGACTAAGTGCCAAGTTTTAAATATAATTGAAAAAAATATTATAGACAAAGACTTAGATATTTGGCATGTAATATTTTTGATGTTTATCTTCACTTTTGTGACAGATTTAGGCAACATATCTGGCTAATAAAAATGTTGCTTACATTTATACATAATTGTGCATCATATTTTCACGCTGTTTTGAACATGAGAATAATTTTAATGGATAATTAAATAAATACTTTTATACCAGTGACTTAAAAGAAATAAAATTCAGTGATTAATTTGTTCTTCTGAATTATATTTGATTCTAGTTGGAACTAATTAATGATTGTTGCTTATGAATGGATTCATTTGAAGGTTTTCTGTAACATAAAGAAAAGAGATTCACTTAGTGATCAACAAAACTGCAGCTTTTCGTTTATGATTTGGTTGAGCTGATTAGATAAGGTGACTTAAGTCTTATGAAGATCAAAATAATATTAAAGTATGTAGACATATAAAATAAAAATACATGCATTCAAGAGCTTATGAAATATACGTGATAAAAAAGAATTCAAACAATCTTAAATAATGATGTAAAATATTTCTGAGCTTTCAATTTAGGTTGAAATGAAAGTAAAATATTTGAAAGCAGTTTAATTAGTTTTAAAACAAAATTTGTTGTTCTTAATAAGGAAGTACCTGAAAATACCCTTTCCCAGGAGAGCTGGATTGTGGTGTACTTCCCCATACTGTATTTTTCAACTTAATTAAAATAGAAAAGAAAATAAAAAATCATGATAAAACTCAGTAACAAATACACACACACACAAAAACCCAAACATTTTAACATACATTTTAGCCTACTATGAAATTAGAATACAGCTTTGAAGCTACCCTTCCTGTGGTTTCTATGTATAAATTCTATGCTAATGTCTATGTATAAATTCTGAGCTAACATACAAATACTTGACATTTATGATTGTGTAAAAGATGCAGTTTAATGTACACTCTTATTTACATGAAAAATTATTCAACAAAAACCTTTCTACCTAAAACTAAGGTATTCTCAAGTCTTAACTATGCCTGTAAAACACTAACATTGGCAACATGGCCCACTAGTTGGTCATAGACAGAGAGTTCGGCCATTATAAACCTTACTTTTCATGGTAAGCAAGAATTAGTATTGTGAAATTATAAAATCTATTTATCAATGTGTATTTCTAATAAATAATGTCTCTCTTACTGTATCCTGGATGTTAAAAGTTACTCTGGGTCCAGGAGATGCTGCATCCACACGGATTTCTGGGAGGTCATCAGTTTCTCCTACTCGAGAGCTATAAATAAAATACAAAGTTATGAAACACTAACATTCTCATTTTTATAACTCCTGAACTTGATGAATTCTGATTAATAGCATTAACATTCTATTTCTAAATATTTATCTTAAAAGATTGAATTTTTGACATTCCATTTCTTAACCTTTAATAAAATCTCATAAAAAAAACTCTCAATGTTTTGATTATCTTAAGATTTTCTAAAACCAACCTTCATAAAAAGAACATATACTTCTTACTTCTGTGGTGCTGATTTAGTACTAAAACATTATTTTAATTCTACATGTAAAATTTCCAAGTTTCATGAGCTAAATATGTGTGCTATCATATTTTTCCCAAATTGACCTATTTAGAGCAATAGGTGTGCTCATTTTCATTCCTCTGGATAGTCTATAAATTTACATGTAAAATTTACCTAAATATCACTGTATTTCATTACTAAAAATCAATGCATTGTGGTCTAAACATGATAGAGGAATTCTTCAAATAAATGAAGTTTAACATTAATTAGAGTGACTGCTATTTTACCAATAAAGTCTATTTTAACTATCTAATTAGCATAGCAAAAAAAAGCAGTGAATATTGTTAAAAGTCAAAAATTTTATTATTTGTTCCATGGACTGAAATATAGTTACCTTGTTCTTTCCATCCGCTTAAGAGGTGGTCTTCCAGAAGCTGAAATGCTTTTTGATCGACTGTAACTTGGTTTGTAACCCAAACCCCACTTATCCTTTAGGGAAGCAGCCTAATGGAATGTGAGAGGAAAAAAAAAGTGACTACAGGTAACTGTACATTGTTGTAATATTTCACTTAGTAAAACAATCTTTATTCTAAAATAAGCTCACTTATTTTCCCCTAGGTAACTAAATGCCACTTAATGGTACAGGGGAGTCAACGCAGAGCAGTCAGTGATCATCTATCCTTAGGTTCTAACATTGACTAAGAGAACTATGGAATGAAAATATGCATCACTGGCTGACCTGAGAGAAAAGGAAGAAACAAAAAGATTGGGGGCAGTGGTGAAGGACACAGAAGCAAGATGGGAATAAAGGAAATGATAAAAAAGAAAGGCTCTGGGAAGCTGTGAGTGCATATGACCGCTATCACCTTAAGCACCACTCAAAGGCATTCTTGCTGCAGAATACTTTCTCATTACAACAAAGGGAAGAGGTTACCTGTATATTCTCCCTGTCTCACAATTCATCATCTGGAAATGTGAGGTGCTGGACATTAAAAAGTAGAGGTATGGAACCCAAGAAAGACATGGAGAAATGCTGAATGAGCACGTATTAAGAATATAGAATTAGTTTAAGCAATTTCTATTTTATGGTGATACTGGGTTTTGAACTCAGCGCTAAGCACTTGCTAAGCAGGGACTCAACCACGTGAGCCATATCCCCAGCCCTTTTTGCTTTTAGTATATTTTTTCAAGTAGGGTCTTGCTCTTGTGTAGGTTCAGCCTCAGACTGCAATTGTACCTACACCTCCCATGTACCTGGGATTACAGACATCATCACTATGCCTGCCTTGTTTGTTGAGATGAAGTATCACTAATTTTTTGCCCCAAGTTATTTTTAACAGTATACCATCCAGCGTGAATGACTTTAAAATCAGCACACAGAAATATTTTACTGATATTTACTTGTAGTCTATGACTAAGATCTATGCAAAAACCAAAAAGATAGATACATAATAGCAAGAGAAAAATCAAAGAATATGGAATTTTAATTTTTGATTTCTTTTTTATTGTTTTTATATTTATTCATACGTGTACATACTGTTTGGGCCAACTCTCCCCGTTCTGCTCCCCCGCCCCCCAGCTCGCTTCCAGGGAGAGCCTGTTCTGCTGTCTTTTTCTTCAATTTTGTTGAAGAGAAAACATAAAAGATAATAAGAAAGACACAGAATTTTTGCTAGTTGGACAAAAAGAGCAATGCTGGAGGTATCACAATACCTGACTTCAGATATATTACAAAGCAACAGCATTAAAAACAGCATGGTACTGGCACAAAAACAGACACGAAGGCCAGTGAAACAGAATAGAGGACCCAGACATGAATCCACACAGCTATGCCCACCTTATTTTTGACAAAGGCGCCAAAAACATATGATGGAAAATAGACTCTTCAACAAATGTTGCTGGGAAAAGTGGTTATCTGCCTGCAGAAAAGTGAAACTACATCCACGTTAACACACTGTACCAGTATCAACTCAAAAAGGATCAAAGATCTTAATATCAGACCCGGAATTCTGAAGCTAGTACAGAAAACAGAAGGGAATACTCTGGAAGCAATAGGTATAGGCAAGGACTTCCTCAATAGAACCTCAGCAGCTTAGCAACTAAAGGAAAGGATGGACAAATGGGAGTACATAAGATTAAAAAGCTTCTGCACAACAAAAGAAATGGTCTCTAAACTGAAGAGACCACCCACAGAGTGGAAGAAAACATTTGCTAGCCATACATTAGACAAAGGACTGATAACCAGAATATACAGGGAGCTCCAAAAAACTTCCCTAAAATCAATGAAGCAATAAAGAAATGGGCAACTGAACTAAACAGAACTTTCTCAAAAGAAGATATTCAAGTGGCCAAAATACACATGAAAAAATGTGCACCATCTCTGGCCATAAAGGAAACGCAAATCAAAACCACACTAAAATTCCACCTCACCCCTGTTAGAACAGCTATCATCAAAAACACCACAACAACAGGTGTTAGCAAGGATGTGGGGAAAAAGGAACCCTCATATACCGCTGGTGGAAATGCAAGCTAGTATAACCACTCTGGAAAACAATATGGAGGCTTTTAAAAAAACTAAACAGATCTGCCATATGATTCAGCAGTCCCACTTCTAGGGATATACCCAAAGGAATGCGACTGGGGTTATGCCATAGACACCTGCACACCCATGTTTACTGCAGTGCTATTGACAATAGCCAAGTTATGGAAACAGCCAAGATGCCTCACTACTGATGAATGGATTAAGAAAATGTGGTATTTATACACAACAGAATTTTACTCAGCCAGGAGGATTGAAATCTTACATTCACAAGTAAATGGACAGAACTGGAGAACATCATCTTAAGTGAAGTTAGTCAGGCTCAGAAAGCCAAAATTCGTATGTTCTCCCTCATATGTGGACTTTAGATCTAAAACAAATGCAGTAATATTATTAAACATGGGTCACATGTTAAGGGGATGACACATACTGGAGGAATAGGGAAAGGTAGGAAACCCAAAATATAAATGTGTTTGATGAGCCCAATGCAGAGAAACTAATATAGTAACCTTAAAATGACAGAGGTTAATAAGGGAAGGTGATTGGGAAGTAGTGAAGAGATCTGGTAGCGATGAATCAATTCAGGTTATAACACACGTGTGCATGGAAGCAATGCTAGGAATCTCTCTGTATAGCTAACCTTATCTCAAACTAGCAAAGATGCTATGTTTCTTATTATTGCTTATGACTTCTCTTCAACGAAATTGGAGAAGAGGGCAGAAGCGAGGGGGGTTGAGAGGGAGAGGGAAGGGGTTGGGGGCAGGTGGGAGAAATAGCCCAAACAATGTATGCACATATGAATAAACAAATAAAAAAATACAATTTTTGCTGTTGGAGATAGAGATATGGAACTTTAAAACTGTAAAAGAAAGAAAGAGAAAGCCTTGCTCTGACAGAACCCAGAATTGCCTTTATTTTCACTATTGTTTTGTTGGGTGGTTGTATGGCTGGTTTTTGTTCAGTTTTGTTTCACTTCTGGCAAGAGCCATGAACATGGGACACCCTTTGAATAAAACAACTGCTCAGCAAGGAAAGCCCTGGTTGGCAAACCTTGCTTGGATCATCAGATAGAAGCCCACTGGCAACAATGTGGACACAAAACTGAGCAAGCAGGGTGAACTAGCTTTAGCACTGAGGTTACGACCAAGAATGATCAATGAGATGAAAGAAGATACATAAATATTTTAATGAACTAAAAAAGAATACAAATAAATAGCTAACTCAACTTAAAGAAACCGGTAAAGGAGCTCAACAAAGAGACAAATAAAAAGCTAAATTAAATAAGGAAGAAAATGCAACACATGAAAAAGGACTTGAAGATGGATATAGAAATCCTGAAAAAAAAAACAAACAAACACAAATTGACATTCTGGAAATGAAAAGCTCCATCAGTCAAATAAAACATAAGATTGACAACCTCTTCATCAGATTGGATAAAATGGTAAACAAACTTGAGGGCACTTTAATAGATCTAATAGAAAGATCAGATGAAGATAAAGGAATGAACAAGTATGAACAGTCATATGAACAAAGCAAGAACACTGGGACTCCACTAAAAGACCAAATCTATGAATCACAGTCATTGAAGGAGATGAGGTACAAACTAAAGGAATAGAAAACATATTCAGTAATGTAATAGGCAGAAAACATTTCACACCTTGAGAACGAGATAGCCATCCAGGTACAGGTGGCCTTTAAACTCCAAACAGGTAAGATCAGAGTAGAACCTCTCCATGTCATATTAGAGTTAAAACAAGGAAAAAATATTGAAAGATGCAAGAAAAATGTCAAGTTATCTATAAAAACAGACCCATCAGAATAACAGCAGATTTCTCAAAAGAAAGCTTAAAGGAGGGCACATGATGTATTTCCAGCTCTGAAAAACAACTGACCACAGATTACTCAACCAAGGAAAGTAATGAGCAAAACGTTCTTTAATAACTTAGGGAGAAATAAAAAACATCCACAGTAAAGAAAAATGAATACAATTTATGACCACTAAACCAGCACTGCAGAAATTACTGAAGGAAATCCTACTTACAGAAAAGGAAGATACATGCAACCATGAAAACATAGGAAAAATAAATCTTACTAGATGAGTACATAAGCAAATGAAGAGCAGAAAGGAATCAAACACCACAAAAATAACAAAATGGCAGGAATTACTACATATCTCTCAATAGTAACTTATTAAAGGTTATGGTCTCAATTTCCCATTCAAAAAACACAGAATGGTGGACAGGATTAAAACACAAGACCCAAGCATTTGTTGGCCATAAGAAAAGCATCTCATTAATAAAGACAAACTCAAGATTAAAGTGAAAGAATGGAAAAAAAGATTTTTCAAGAAAATAAAGCCCAAAAGCAACCAGAATAGCCATATTCCTTTCTCCTATCTGACAAATTAGGCTTCAAAACCAAAATTAGAGAGAAAGAATGACTTTATACTGATAAAGGGAGGATTTAATTATTACAATCATACACACACTGATTATCAGTGTACCCACTTTCATAAAGGACACACTATGAGACATAAAAGCTCAGGTGGACCCCAACACAATAATACTAGGTGACTGTAATACCCCATTTTTACCAACAGATAGGTCACCCAGACAAAAAACCAACAAAGAAACATCAGAATTAATTGACACTATAGGTCAAATGGATTTAAGAGACTTAACAGAATAGTACAGAATACACATTGTTATCAGAAGCCAATAGGATTTTCTCCAAAATATATCATATTTTAGGACATAAAGCAAGCTTTAGCAAACATGAGAAAATTGAAATAACTTCTTGTATTTAATCAGTCCATTATGATATAAAACTAGAAATCAATAACAAGCAAAAACACACAAATATTCTAACACATGAAGACTGAACAATTTGAACAATCAGTGCACTGGTCACTGAATAAATAGGGGAGGAAATAAAAAAATTCCCAGAACTAAGTAAGAATGAAAGC